AGGCGGTTGGCGCCGGATCCACATAAGCAGTTGTTCGCGTTGTGCCTGACATGACACGATAAGATTTTCATTAAGTTTTAAGCTAAGGGGATGGATCATGGATGGGATACGGGTACGGGTACGGATGGTTCCAAGGTTATTTGGGTATTTGGTAGGTAGAAAGGTAGGTAGGTGAGGAGGTGAGTAAGTGAGTAGGTAGAAAGGTATTGTAGGATGAAAAGGTTGATAGTTATTGATTTGATTTGATTGATACTGGAGTGGATAATGAGTATTGATGTTATGGATGATTTACGATGATATAGGAATATACTAGGGAGTGTTTGGATATTATATATCTAGTAGGTCGTACCTAGGTATTCTTGAGGTAGTATCTGGATACGGAGATAGAGTAAGTCGTAAGTAGGTAGTACGAAGAGCATGTGATTTATTATTATCTATCTCTTGATTAAGATAGATAATAGATAAATACCAATAGTTATACGAGTATTACGACGTAGATAGATAAATAGATAAATAGATGTAGCAATGAATTACTTGATTACCCAAAAAGTGAAACTGACATAAATGTCGGGATATCGGTATCTATCTAATCATTTTGAGTCTTGCGCCAATGTCCTCGACTAGACTCATGATCACTTTTCATTGGCTAGATCTCACTTTTTGAGCGTATTAGTGGGTCGGGCTGTGGAGGCAACCGTAATAGGCGACCGCTATCGTCATTCATTCGTGCTCGTGCATCCTGCCGTGCTTTGCTTTGCTTTGCTTTGCTCTTGCTAATACTCTGAAGCTCTCTCTACCTTCATCTCAGCCATCTTCCTTTCTCTCATCAACAACCAACTCTTCTACTTTATCCAACATTTTGCAATTCCATCAAAGATATCGTTCCCATTTTCTTAATTCATTAATACAATCCAATAAACTACACACGAATTAAATCTACATCATGAAGGGTGCAGTTTTCGCCGCAGCATCGCTGCTCGGCAGTGTGAGCGCCGGTGTTCACAAGATGCCTCTCAAGAAGGTATCTCTGAGTGAGCAACTTGCTACTGCCAACATGCAGGAGCATGCTAAACACTTGGGTCAAAAGTATATGGGTGTTCGACCTGAATCTCACGCCAGCGAGATGTTCAAGGAGACTTCCGTTCACGACGCAGGCGACCACACTGTTCCAGTTTCCAACTTCCTCAATGCTCAATGTAAGGACATACACCGCCACCAAGCATTAATCAGATGCTAACTTGCGAATAGACTTCTCAGAAATTACTATCGGTACACCACCACAAACATTCAAGGTCGTCCTTGATACCGGAAGTTCCAACCTTTGGGTTCCATCTTCCCAGTGCGGCTCGATCGCGTGCTACCTTCACACAAAGTACGACTCATCCTCATCATCTACCTACAAGGCAAATGGAACTTCATTCGAGATCCGATACGGTTCTGGAAGCTTGAGTGGTTTCACCTCCAAGGATGTCATGTCCATTGGTGATCTCAAGATCAAGGACCAAGTCTTTGCCGAAGCTACTGAAGAGCCAGGTCTTGCATTTGCCTTCGGTAGATTTGACGGTATCTTGGGTCTCGGTTATGATACCATCTCCGTAAACAGTATCGTCCCACCTTTCTATAGCATGATCGACCAAGGTCTTTTGGACGAGCCAGTTTTTGCCTTCTACTTGGGTTCCAATGATGAGACTGACGCATCCGAGGCTATCTTCGGTGGCGTCAACAAGGACCACTACGAGGGCAAGATTACTGAGATCCCATTGAGACGCAAGGCTTACTGGGAAGTTGACCTTGATGCGATCGCCTTTGGTGATGCTAAGGCCGAGCTTGACAACACTGGTGTTATACTTGACACCGGAACTTCTCTCATTGCTCTCCCGACCACTCTTGCTGAGCTTCTCAACAAGGAAATCGGTGCTAAGAAGGGATGGAACGGTCAATATACTGTCGATTGTGCCAAGCGTGACAGTCTCCCAGATCTTACATTCACCCTCAGCGGTCATGACTTCGCTATTGGCCCTTACGATTACATTCTCGAAGTTCAAGACTCCTGTATCTCCACCTTCATGGTAAGTTTCCTTTGGGCACTGATTCTATTCATGGATGTCTGCTAACAATCTACTAGGGTATGGACTTCCCAGAGCCAGTTGGACCTCTTGCTATCTTGGGTGATGCTTTCCTCCGAAGATACTACTCCGTCTATGACCTTGGTAAGAACACTGTTGGTCTTGCTAAGGCCAAGGCATAAATGTACTTCGATCAAGCCAAAGTGCTAAAGTTGTAACAAATTGAATACCCTCGAGTAACTCGAGGACGGAAATCGGCGATGGGAATTTCCTTTTAGTGTGTAGAATAGGGAGTTCTCATTTCTCTAATAATAACTATTATGCATGGTTTTCTCTTTGGGAAGGAAGGTTACTTTTCCTTGGTCAGAATGCTTACATTTGATCTTTGATCGTTGGTCACTATCACATTAGTTTTTGATGTCTACACATCTACTAGTATGGTACTGAATATAAATATACCGATGAAAAACATTGTTCTTTGCGAGATTATTTCAACAGTGAATGAACATGATGTAATTTGTTAATTTATATAACGAACGCTATGAAAAACTTGCGACAATGAAGATTGTAAAGCACATAAAGCGTGACAATTGCATCTCTGGCGGGGGTGAAGATGATGCAGCACCACAGTATTACATAAGCGAGAACTTTACCTATATGTTGTAGTGGGCAGTTTCGATAATTTTGAATAGCATAAATATTTTTGTTTCGCAGACGTCAAATATGGCGGATACAGATACTAAGTAAGTGAAGAATCTGCCTTTGTAAATGAAACTACCCAGTTCTGCAATTCTGTAGGAAGAGAGGTTCCTATAGTCTATCCATCCAGAAGCATTCCCCAGGTCACAGAATGCCGAGTTGTTGCGGATGGCAGTGAGGTGAACTATGTAATTTGATCTGCAGAGGAGAGGGGTCTGGGGAGCTTACTGGAGTTTGTGGGAAGATTTTACTACCATTCGCAGAGAAGAAGTTCTTAAAATTCGCAGAAAACTAGCTAACTCTCAACCCTTCAGAAAAGATGCCGCCCGCACAAATGAGCGAGGCATTCCATATGCACCATTCGTGGATCGAGTCGAGGATTATGTTACTACGAGGGCGGATGTTGAGCCTACGTTGAAGAGATTCCAGGAGATGATTTCGTAGGTTGGAGCTCTATATTTGGATATTTTACACAAACGGAGGAGTGTTTGCTTTGGGAACTTGGACTTGGGGATTCCGGGGATTGGGGCATTGGGACATTGGACGATTCGAGAAATCAGAAGCTCATACTGTGGAATTTGTTTAGGAAATATCAATTTATGGAGGTAAATCAACAAAAGAGAGTCGCCGGGTTGAAAATCAACATGCCGGATATTCAGAAGACGCTGGATACGGTGAGGTTTTTGAAAACGAGGAAGGTATGTTTGTACTATGCTGTGAGGTGAGCGGAGGGGGGCTTGAGAGATTGGAGCTGATATGTTCTTGATAGGAGGGTGCGGATCCTATACAGGCTACTTTTGAGTTGAATGATACCTTGTACGCCAAAGCCAATATTCCGGCTACGGAGGAGGTTTATCTATGGTTGGGGGTACGTTTAACATTTGGGGAAGAGGTGGTGGAGGTAAATTGACAAGGTGGCAGGCAAATGTTATGTTAGCATATCCGATTGATGAGGCGGAGGAATTACTTTCGAACCGACTCGCGGCTGCGAAACAAAGTTTCGCGAATTGTGAGGAGGATTTGGATTTCTTGAGAGAACAGATTACGGTATGTTTACTCCACTTCACCCACAGACCATGACTGGGGAAAAGAGAAAGTTGCGGAGTGGAGAGAGATTAAGCTGACGAAACTCTTTTGATGAATAGACCATGGAGGTTGCTACAGCTAGGGTATACAATTGGGATGTTACGATGAAGAGAAAAGAGAAGAATGAATCGGAGGTTGCAGAGGAAAAGGATGGGAAGCCGGGTAGTTCTAATGGTTGATAGAGTTTTTGGAGGAGAAATAATGAAAACATAAAGTTCTGGGATGTCGATGGGAGCTTTCTTATGACATGATGATGTCGATGATGATGATGATATTCAGGAGAACTCAAACCAAACCATCTCTGGTCCAAATACGAGGAAAAGAAACCCAAAGATCTTCGAGATCTGATGTAGAGAAATAAAACTCTTGATATTTTATTGGTGTGTTGATATTTGATCAATATAGATCATACTCAAGTTTTCTGGCTCCTGATAGAAACTTTGGTACAATAGATATACTCAGTACAGAGGAGATACAATCTCCACGTAATTGAGCTTCTCCCCTTGAAATGCATGCTCGTATGATATATGTATGATATACGATATTCGTAAGATCTAACCTTGATCTTATTTGCTCCCAAGTCCCAACGGCCTTTTAATATCGAACGATAGATATATCGATTTGGGGTTGAATACATGCCCCTGATCAGGGGATCGATCAGGGGAACTTTTCCTTACCAAGCTCGCTTACAGGGTGGATGTAATCATCGTGAGCTCATACGTACATTCTATTTGTAGGGGAAAAAAGAAGGCACAGTTGAGTATTTACATTGTTTTATTAGAATTATAAATCAATTACATATCAAACAAGAAAAAATAAAATAAGAAAAATGAAATACAGGTTTTTTGGTATCTTAAATTGTAGAATAAATAAAATATATTATATGGAGAATTGGCAGGTGATAATTGAGATGTACGATACTCGTAAACACTTTCCCAAGGGACCATTTCCAGCCTCGTAAAGCTAGAGCCCCTCTTGGATCTAATAATTTATTAGTTCGGCCAACTTACCTGGCAATAAGTTGAATCTCTGTGCGCACATCAACACCTCCCTCCCCCATTACATTATCTTCCCTCTCTTCCTTTATTCTTCGCCGCACATATTACCCTGAGCATTTTTGAGATCGCATATCGTGAGAAATCAGACACCATGGCAGCCAATTCAGAAATCAAACTCGATCCCAAATACGATCACTATGATTTCCCAACCACGTCGCCTACGGCTCAGAGTGGTCACCCTGGACACACAACCCCAGAACAGGATGCGCAGGTGCAGCAGTTGAGGTTGAAGTTGGAGGCGGCGGGGTTTACGGAGAGATTGGATACGCTTACTTTGGTATGTTTGTTTGTTTGTTTGTTTGTTTATTTGTTTATTTTTCGTGGTGCTGGTGACGGTGCTTGGGCTTGGGAAGAGGGGAGAGGGGGGAATCTACTAGTGCTTTTGATGATCGAGATTATTTTCTGGGCTCGATCGCTGTTTGTTGCTTGATTTTGAGGGTTTGATGATGTGCGAAGGATTGATGGGGAAGGGGAATCCATATTGAATATGGCTAATTGTTATCTCTTCGCAGCTTCGATTCCTACGAGCACGTAAGTTCGACGTCACATTGGCTGAGAAGATGTAAGAACCCTCGATATATACACCTTTGATTTTCCCTATATATTGGAAGGATGATGAATACTGATACTGGAGAATAGGTTCGTGGATGCAGAGCAGTGGAGAAAGGATTTCGGTCTTGATGAACTCGTCCGTACCTTTGATTACAAGGAGAAGGAGGAGGTTTTTAAGTACTATCCTCAATACTATCATAAGACTGATAAGGTACGTCTCTTCTTGGCTTTGTTTGGTTTCTTTTGCGAGATCGTCTTTGCCCTCGCATTTCCTCGTTCACTATCTAACATATCTCCCACAGGATGGCCGTCCAGTCTACATTGAACAAATGGGCAACATCGACCTTAACGCCATGTACAAAATCACCTCTTCCGAGCGTATGCTTCAAAACCTCGCTGTCGAGTATGAGAAGATGGCCGATCCCCGTCTCCCAGCCTGTTCCCGCAAAGCTGGTTCTCTCCTCGAAACCTGCTGCACCATTATGGATCTCAAGGGCGTTGGAATCTCCAAGGTTCCTTCCGTTTACTCATACGTAAAACAAGCCTCTGTCATGTCCCAAAACTATTATCCAGAGCGTCTCGGCAAATTGTATTTGATCAATGCACCATGGGGTTTCTCCACCGTTTTCGGTGTTGTTAAGGGTTGGTTGGATCCTATTACCGTTGAGAAGATTCATGTTTTGGGATCAGGGTATCAAAAGGAATTATTGGCGCAAGTCCCTAAGGAGAACTTACCGAAGATTTTTGGAGGTAGCTGCGAGTGTAAGGGTGGTTGTGCATTGAGTGATGAGGGTCCTTGGACAGATCCAGCTTGGGCTAAACCTCCCAAGTGGGCATCGACAAATGGTGATCAACATGTCATCAACACCGAGAACGTTAATGCAGGTACGATCCCAACTGGAACTACTGCTCCAGCGCCGGTTCCTAGTGAGGAGGGTGTCAAGGCACCTGAGCCAGTTGCTCAGTAGATGTATATATTGGGAAGGGAGTTGTTGTTGATTGTGATGGGTTGGCGTGTGGTTGAGCGAATGGGTGTTGAGGTTTCATCTGAGATGTCAGTTGAGTTGTGAATGGAAATGGGAATGGAAAAGAGAATGAAATTGGGATGACATGCATGTTACAGGTGGAAAAATAAAGACGCTGTCATGGAGCATGGAGAGAAATGGATGCATACAAATGAGGGAATAAAGAAGAAAGATGCTATCGATGCGATTTTTGCGTTTTCTTCTTCTTCTTCCTTTTGGTAGTTCAGTACAGACAGAAACAGAACTTTAGATATGGGATTTGGTATTGGTACATTTTTACATTTTTGGGATTGTTTTATTGCTTGATTGTTTGTGTGACTGCACGGCGATTGAATGCCACCCAATGGTTGAATTAGTATTACTCTAATGTGTCCACGGGTATCTAGGTATGTATGAGTGGTCTGGTATATGTGAATGTATGAGTTGTCTGGTATATGTAAATGTATATATATTGAGTGATTGAGAAGAAGAAGAAGAAGGAGGAGGAGGAGAAGGAGAAGAAGGAGAAGAAGGAGAAGAAGGAGAAGAAGGAGAAGAAGGAGAAGAAGGAGAAGAAGGAGAAGAAGGAGAAGAAGGAGAAGAAGGAGAAGAAGGAGAAGAAGGAGAAGAAGGAGAAGAAGGAGAAGAAGGAGAAGAAGGAGAAGAAGGAGAAGAAGGAGAAGAAGGAGAAGAAGGAGAAGAAGAAAAAGAAGGAGAAGAAGAAAAAGAAGGAGAAAAAAAAAGGAGAAGAAGGAGAAGAAGGAGAAGAAGAAGTGAGTTTGTGAGTTTGTAAGAGGGGAGTGCTTGATGTGTTTTAGACCTTTGGAGTTGAGAGTTGGGGATTTGTGAGTTTATAAAAGGGGAGTGCTTGATGTGTTTTAGACCTTTGGAGTTGAGAGTTGGGGATTTGTGCGATTGATGGGTTGGAGATTTGAGGATTGGGTTTGAGGGTTTGAGGGTTTGAGGGATTGTGTAGTGAAGTCAATAGAACGATTGGAAGTCAATGGATTGAATTGGATGGGAATGTGCTTTTGTGATGTTCATCTGAGTAGGTAGGTAGATAGATAGGTAGGTAGATATATAGATGAGTAAATAGTTAGATATATATAGGTATATATATAGATGTATATTGATTTGTGAGTTGTGAATTTGTAAGTTTGTGGGCAGGTGGATGGGTGGGTTGGTGGATGAGTGGCTAGGTGAATGGGTGTATTTAGGTATTTACTGGATTGGGTCCTGGATTCTGGACTGGACTGGATTGGACTGAATTTGGATTTGGCATTTGGGATTGGAGTGGATGTAAGGTGAGTTGAGGTGAGGTGAGGTGAGGTGAGGTGAGGTGAGTTGCGGTGAGTTGAGTTGGAGTATTTTGGTTTGGTATTGCTGGCTAGATCTAGGTGGGATGAATGGGTGTGGGTGAGGTATGGGTAGATGTGGGTAGGTGAGGTATGGATGGGTGAAGTGTTGTAGTGTTGTAGAGTTGTAGAGTTGTAATAGCGAGTCATAGTGTATAATAAAGTGATAATATAATAGTGTATATATATTAATATTAATATTATAAAGTATGTATGTGGATGTAGTGTGTAGATGTAGTATATGAATGTATAGATGTATGAATGTGTACACGTGTAAATGTATAGATGTGTGGGTGTATGCTTCGATTGTGATACTTGTAAAGACTGGGAAATAAAGGGGTGTGGGGGGTATGAGGGAGATTGGGAAGTTTTGAGGAGATAGGAGATTGAGTTTAGATTGGATTATGGGGAGAACAGAGAGAATATGTAGAGAGAGTGAAGTGTACTTTTCTTGAAATCTTCTATTGCGTTTAGATATCCTTAGGGAAAGGGGTTTGGGGAGGAGTGTGAGGGTGAGGGTGAGGGTGAAGCGGAAGAGGACTGCGGAATCGGAGAATGGAGAGGAGTGCATTGTGAAGAAGACATTGTAACAGGAAGACAGAAAAAAAAGAAATATGTACAGAATAAGAGAGAGAAAGTAGAGCTAATACCATACAGAAAGATCTACATGTAGCGAGCAAAGCACTAACGCACTAACTCTTATACTATTGAATACCCAACGCCTTTGCCAGACTGGTTTTCTTGTCGTCTGTCTGGACTGCTCACTACAGTTGAAGTTTTGGATTTTTTATAAATAATATGATTGGAGATCTATATAGTTGGATAGAGTTTTTTCAGTTTGGGATATGAAATGAAATATGAAATATGGGACGTACAACTGGATTAGAATTCATCTCAAATCTGCGCAGTATAGAACTGAATGACTTTCTGATAATGATATTGTAGTAGATATCAATCGCAAATATTCTGCTTGTGTGATGATTGGGGCGTCTTTTTATATCTGTTTGTAGTGATGATGACACTTGGGATTTATGTAGATCTTTGAATTGTATCTTTTCATGGGAGTGTGGTAGGATGTGATACTGTATTTGTTGACTTGGGTTTTGGTTTGGGGTATTGGAGTATGCTGGGTTGATTCTATGTATGTGTGTATATTCTTGTGAGATTGTGATTGTGAGACTTCTTTCCTCGAGTCTATATTATACATATTGCACAACAATGATGATACTGAAATGGTTTGGCTTATGTCTAGATGAATGATACAAAGGGGAACCGAGAAACGAGGGGGGCAAGTGGAGCTTGCTTCAGATCATCATTCTGGTTCCAAAAGGAAAAATGAGAAGCTTGTAAAATATGTGCTCTGTTTGATATTTGCTAACCGTGTATATCTATGTATGTACTTTCGTTCCATTTGCATGGTATTGTATCGCGTGTGCAGGATGTGTGTAATAACTATCTATGCATCATATATCTTCAACTCATTTCAATTCATATCATCACAAATTCTCCTCGTCAATGCTAAATTCAAAATGCTACGAAATACCCAAGAAAGATTCGCTCTCTATGTACCAACTCAATCCAAGTAAAATTTCAAAGAACAAGAAAGAAAGCCCTCGATATTTACCATCCAAATTTCTCAATCGTGACCTCTAAATCTCTACCCTCTCGGACCAATTCGGCACATTTGTTGTTTACCGTTCGATTTAATCCATCCGGTCCACTAACCACCACACCTATCTTCTGTCTCTTCTCTATCTCTTTACCTGAGCCGCAAATAACCCCGTCCATCAACCCATCTAAATCCGGTCTCCCAACCTCCGTCGTAGCGCCCGGAATAATAATCTCCACCCCATTCTTTACCAAATCTTCCCTCTCCTTCTCATCAATCCATTCAAGATGTGCACTTTTGTGAATAATCCAAATCATTACAATTCTCTGTCTCCTCTTAGTCGTTAGTGCTCTAGTCTCGGGATCTTCGCCTTCGCTTGACATGTTCAGGAGATGATGTATGATTGGCCACGTAACAGCGATTCCACTCCCTCCTGCAACTAATATCGCGAGATCCGAATCTTCAAGAAGAGAACGAGCATGACTACTTCCGTATGGACCGTCGAGACGACATTTTAGTGTGTTTTTGACTTGGGCGGCACGAAGGAGATCGGCGGAGAATCCGGAGCGGGCTCGGATTAGTAGGGTGAGATTGGAGGTTTTTGAGGAGGGAAGGGGAGCTGGAGAGGCGATTGTAAAGGGGTGAGCTTGGAGTGCGTGGGAACGACCTAGAGAGGGGATGGTGAGGAAAACGTGGTCGGTTGCATTCCAGCCGGAGGAGATCGAGTGGCCGAGGGTTTGGGAGAAAACTGTGGTAGGTGATTTGGGGAGATTAAAGGCTAGGAGGAGGGTTTTGTTGTCAGGGTAGATACTGACTTTAGCCTAGGTAGGGTTAGTCAATTGTGTGAGAAATGAAGGAGAGGAGTCAAAACCTACCTCAGCCATAATACTTTTCGCGCAAAGGCGGTATACCAAGCGATCCACGAGGAATATCGCAAGAGCCCATCCAACATAAGTTCTCGTTCCCCTGTGATGAAAATACAAAATGACCAAAGCACCAGCTTGCAACACAACGTGCAATCCCAAAAACACCTCGTACCATCGCTGACGGAACGACGCCAGCGACGTTAAATATAATGATTTATATGTGAATAAAGCCGATAGTCCCAAATAGATACACGGGTGAGTTAAAAAATCCCAAATTGTCCAACCACTAAATGGTACCAAGATCACATACCACATCACGAACATGGCGCCAGCGTGGATGAGCGCAGCAACAATGATTAGTTCTCCAAGTCGCCGGTGAATAATATTTAGAGATTCATAGGAGACACCTGTTAGAACTTTAAGTGGTTGGTTCTTTGCGCCGAGAATGTATAGCAGTGGGAGATTGACACCGAATATTAGGCCTGCTCGGTCTCCAAGCACGGAAGCTTCGAACAATGTGAATGAGATGTTGAAGAAGGTGTAGAAGATATTGAGGGCAAGAAACGACATGATGAATATTGAAGAGCCGTTTGAAGGGAGAACTTTATTGAAATAGGGGAGTGGTCGAGGTTGGTATACGAGGAACGCTTTGATGCGGGTGATGATGGTGATTCGATTCGACGGAGTGTTATTGGAAAAACGGCTTCCGGACAATAGAGGCATGCGTTCATTCTCATCATCGCGTTTAATAAAAGGGGTATCTGAACCGAATGTACTGCTCCCGGACGAACTAGCATCGCCATAGTCTGTCACCTCCTCTCGAATTGTCTTTGATGGTTCATCGTCCAGTAAATCGTGTGGACATCTATCCCCTTTCTTCCATAAAGCCCTTCTTCTCCATCGTACAGACTTCTCCGTCCAGTGTATACCCGATAGAATCAATACAAACCCCAAGATAACCCAAGGGTAAGTATTGATAAGTTTTTCATTGTACAGCGCTCCATCGATCAATTTCTGGAGTTTATTCTCATCTGGCTCCTCCTCAGAATCGTCCGTCGTCGATAGTTGTGAAGTTGTATGAACAACAACATTTCGAACAGTGTGTATCCATTCCGTGAGAAGATGATGTGACAAAGTGGTATTCATGTGGAAGTTTAATAAGATGCATATACTTGGTGTAACGAGGGAATCCCGAGGATCAGATTAGATCTGAGAAATGATCTGATAAGATTTCAAGAGTTGACTAACTTATGTGGAGAATTCTATCTTAACGAATCATAAGGCATCGGATTTAAGGTTGACATCAAAAGTGGAGTGCGATGCGAAACGAGCTCTTATTCACTCAGCAACAGCTCAAAGAGCACATCTAAAAGGCTCAACGATGAGAGGGGAGGAGGATGTTTATAACAACATTGGAAGGAAAGGTTTGACCAAAGATTTGAATGGGGAATGAGAGATCATATCAGGATATAAAGAAACAAGGGCAAACCTCGCTGAGAACAGGCAACTCGTCCCATCCAATCCCAACTGAATAGTAGAGTGTGACAGAAGTGTGTCTACATTCCCTAAGAATCAGTTCTTAATCACTTATGTGCGATGGCCTATTTTCCGACACACCAAGAGTTTTAGAAACTTGTTACATGGAAATACCTGACCACTTCGGCAGATTGCTGTGCAGGTATTTTGTCGAAGAATCTTGTCTCTTACTTGCTCAAATTGACTCGTACCGTATCTTGAATGTATCTTTTACTCTACTACAAGTGTATATAACGAAGAGTCTGAGTATTCCTGGAAGTTTCAGGTACGAAAACAGAAGCAAAAGCCATTTGCTAATGTTGTGGGACAGTTGACAAGCGCACACTTTCAGATATCTTGGATTTTGAATCCATGAAGTAGCGACGCTTAGCTTTACAGAACTCGAAAGATCTAGGCTAAGTTACTTGAATGTCACTAGCGATGATGCTATTGCATTACAACTGCCTTCTCTGTCTATATCTTTTGCTAGCTGCATGGTAAAATAGAAGAACCATAGTCGAACTATGTGGCATGTTAAGATTGATGAACAAGAAGCTATCACTGGTATTGATAATGCATTTGCGCTTCCAAAGAGGTTCGGGAGATTAAAACATTGAATTTGAAAAGAAAGGACATGTGCAATTCGAGATGCTGAAGTTCCTCTAGTGGAGCGTAATAAGTGAAGCTCAATCATTTCATAGGTAGACTCGTCGTCATTCGCATCCAGAAAGATATAACTCATACCGGTCAGTATCACGAGAGGACATCCTGAATACACGTAAAATCCACAACGCCAAATTCCAACTCCCAAAAGGAATTGAGTTACTTGCACTCAAAATCTTGGCTTTGGACATTAGTGATGAGCTTTGTACGTATCTCATATTCCAAGCAATAAATACATCCATCACCTTACAACTCATATATGCTGATCAAAATAACTGACACGCGACAACGAGATTCATAGCGCAAATTCCACTTTAAATTCACTCTTGCGTTATCACTCTTGCGCTCCTTCAGCAACCAAACCCAAAAAGTCTCCAGGCGAACAAAACTGCAAAAACCAAACCAATCCGGTAAACCACCTATTTTAACACTGTGCTAAGATAGATGGGGTCTGGAAAATTCCCGAGTTGGCAGGATTTTTTTCTCTCAGATGAACCCTTCGATCCGGGGTCACCTGTCCCTCAACACTCACCCACCTTGCGGTGGTTAAAGCGCAATTATAAATCTGTTGTATAGACCACTGCGCCAGGTCGTACGATGAGATGTTGTTGTGAGAAGCGAGATTGTTTTGGTATATATGTGGGAAAGGGGATAGTGAATAATGGTGGCTGAAGATGTTACGGATGATAGCGAAAGCGGTGAAATATGACTGCCCAGGTGAAGTTCTGAAGGTGGAACATGGAATTAGGGAAGCAAGCGGTGGCTTCGTTCAGATAGGAATACAGAAGGTGCAGGAATTTTGGGAGTCTGCATTAGATATTCCAACTAGCTCAAGCATTGGTTCCAGCATGTAAGAGCCATAATGTCACAGTGGTTCATTATTTTCACTATCAATGACCGCTAGCTATTTCCCACAATACCCCTAACTTTGAGATTGTTCCTTTCATCAAATCAATATCCAACTTTCAACTTCCATTATCCATTATCCAAACCCCAATCATAGAATGCCTTCCGCTCCATTACCCTTCAAACCTATCACTCACCAATCCTTTCCTAATTCCAGGTGTACAAGACCCATGGATCCAATTATGCTTCATTCCACAACACCTCTTCTCCAACCCGGAAAGATTGCCCGGAACTTCTCCAGAATCTCAACTGGTGAAACATCGAGTTCTTTGCAGGTATGATGGAAAGCCTGCATAGCCAGATCGCCGATAAATAACCCACTGTATCTTCCACTCAGTTGTCTAGTAACCTGTACAAGACTGCCCACTACTAATCTGAAGTCCTTCAACCCAGGGAGGATCTACGTGGTGCCGGGAGTTTCATTGGATGCGAAGGTAATATTCAAGATTTTCCCGTCCCGCTGCATTTCCATGTCGAAAGTAGTTATCGAAATAAGAGACCAACTAGTACGTGGGTCTCTGAGGACATTGCAAGCGTGAGAAGGTGTCGACTTTAGGCGATTACTTTTGGCGATTCTGTGTTCGATATTGAGACGGTGGAAATATATTCAGCTACAGCCCCTTATGTGAAAAAATGCAAGCGGAAAATTCTAAGCAGCTGAAGACGTGGTGGGATGGCAGGCCTACATGGGTTTCGGGAGCTTGCATTAGTTTCGACCTGCGGCTTTCACATTCTCCTTTATTCTTGGTATTTCATCTGCATGAAGCCGCTGCTACATTGTCTACGATCAATGATATCAAGCTGCCCTCAATTTTCTTTCATGGTCGGCATATCATTCCTTTCGTGAGTTCGACTTAGACTAAGGCTTGCGGATATCTTCATAAGGTGAAGGCGCCGGTTCCGGAGATATTAGTGAAGAGTGGACGATTATAAAGAATTATTGCCGCCATAGGTGGGAGAGAGCCTACACTTTGTCTCGGTCTTCAATCATACGTAGTTCAATGCCATGGCTAGAGAAAGCATCAAGTGCAAGTTTCAGAACTCCATACCATCAACGCATGTATGGTCATTCATATAGACCATTCATTTCTTCACTTGAAGTAGACGGATGGATTTCGAGGTATAAGAACAACTAATAGTCGGCTCTCTAAGCGGCCGACCAGTTCCTAGTTGGAGAAAGCAAGTGTCCCCAGAAAGAAAGTGTCCCCGGAAAGCGAATGTCCCCGCTAGTGTTTTTGGTGAGGAATATACCAAAACAACAAATTAGTGTGTGAAATCCTGTGTTTTTAAACAGAACTGCTAATCTGAACAAGATTTCGAAACCAATTATATATTTGGATTCAGTAAGGTTAGAGCAATCTAAGGATATCAGAAGTTCTATAATACTTTCAAACCCAATCAGATTATATGGATTTTTAATGACCGGGGACACTCGCTATCCCCGACTAGGAACTATTCGGCCGCTTAGAGAGCCAACTATTACTGTATAATCACTTGCTTGTGACACTCACATCCTTTTGTACCTAGCTATTTAAGTATCCAGCAGTTCTTATTGTGATCAAGAACCTTAGCCAAAACATGAAAAAAATTCCTTTCGCAGAACGTGCATCCAGAATTTGATTCTCAACACATTGCATCACCAAGATAAATACAATCAGAATCATCAAAACTTAGGCCCTTTGATCAAAATTACACTTGGATTTTTTCCTATCTTGGCATAATTTAAGAATACATCATCGTTGATTAGTGAATCGCTGTTCCTAAATGTTGAGCTCGCTGCTTTCTTCCCCCAGAGCACGCCTATCGTTGGATCCGTGGGCCTATCGTAAATCATCCAGTGAACGCCTCTCCATCACTGTCTGTTCTACAATTCCCTCATGCCCACCACCTCCACAGTTGGTGGCACCCATTCCGGGTCGTCCTTTTGCATATGTGCAAAGATCTGTTTCAATGTGGGAAGTATCTGACTTTCTTCCAAGGAAATATTTCTAGGCTCCAGAAGCTCTTTGCACATATACAAGCGTCTTCCCTTAGGAACATGACCTGTGTTGTAACGATGCGGCTCAGCACCGTCCGGATCCTCAACCACAATATACAAATGATTGAGCTTCTTGAAGATATCAAATTCTCGTAGCAATGCCTGGCAGGACCAATAACATAGGTTGACTGCAAGCTTCGTGATACCTTGGTTGACGGCATTGAGGACAATATATGGTGCATCAAGAGCATTTTGCGTAAAGTCGCGGGAGCGATTGGTTACAGACTTGTATTGAAGATAAATGACATCAGAGCACCGAGAGTAGACGGGTATAGATGGAGCGCGGAGATCTTTGTATCCATATTGCAAAAAAAGAGCATTGAATTCTCCGAGGGCCACCTCACGTGAGACTCGACAGGTGAAAAAGAGGGGAGAGGGGTGCCTGTTTGGAACGAATCGAGGATTTGGTTGTGCTGTTTTTGAATCGGAAACGTAAAACACTTCGGTGACATGGCCGAGGTCATCTTTGAAGATTGCTTCTTTCCATATTTGGAGCTGTAATTCCTTAGGGAGGGAAGAGAAAATAGTGAAAACGCGTTCTCTCTCTGTCCTGTGTTCGAGTGTGATCGGCGAAAGCTTTGTTTCCATGCTTTTATTAGCTGGCACAATCCTCATGTGTTGCAGAGACTCTTGGATGGTGTCTGGGCTGTCAACAGGGCCTGGCTGAATATCCTGGATAGCATTTGTAGCGGGAGGGCGGTTGACAACCTGGACAGAGCTTTGGCAAAGGTCGGCAGTGGGATTCTGCCTAGGCTTGGTGCATTGAGACATAGCTTGGTTGCTCGTCATTTCATCACCAACAACGATTTGAGAATCTACCAAATTCGTGTTAGTACAGAATTCAAGAGATGGATGTGGGATAATTGATAGGAGATGCATGCGACTGGAATACGATTCACATAAATGAAAACAATTAAGTGAAGTATAATTATCACATCATGCTTGCCTTCATGGTTTGAATCGACAGTATTGCTGCTATCCCACTTGCATTGTTCTCCATCTTCGGTTATCAAATATATTGACATTATCTGGGCAAGAGAGTGCTTTGAAAGGAGTGGGAATCCATTTTGAAGACGAAGAAGTAAACAGCAACAAGGAAACCCACGCAAGAGTGAGCTACTGCATCAATGGCACAACTCTGGCAAAAGGTGAAACAAGTTTCGACGAAATCGGTTCTGATTGGTGTCTTTTTGTAAGGGCGTCTACTAGAAATAGCTACCATCTCACAAGGAACAATTTGACACAAAGAAGAAAAGAAAGCAAATCGCATTGAGCAACAACAAGGTCCCGCTGCATAGTTAACGAATCATAAAATCATCTTGATATGTACGTAACTGTGGTACATCAAACTACGCGTGTGACACAGAGTTCAATCAAAGAGTCCCTATGGAAGTGCTGAAAATAAAACTGTCGAACCATTCGAAAGATGCTGATGGAAATCAAGTTCATCTCCGCTAGATATCGTGTGCTTTTGGTCGGGCCTTACCTTTGATAAAAGTTATTCTAATCTCTCAAGAGGTGGTCGTGAATGGCAGGTTGAGTAAATCGATGTTGATACTTGGAAGCTTGGAACTGTTGCAATCCAATCTGTCTGCGGCAGCCGTGGAAGTGGAAGAGGAAGAAACACGAGGTGTAACACGACAATAAAGACTATGTACGACAGACAGCTTTATCGTTATTGTATGTGATTGATTACTTTGTAGTTGCCGTCGAAGTAATTGAGTTCTGTGCGTGTAGGAGTGGTGGAGCATCCATGTGAGGTATGATTCCAGTTCGAACCTGGGTATCTACTAGGTAGTCTAGTTAGTTCGCCTGAAAGTGTAAAGACCAAGCGAATCATATCACGTGATAAATCGGCAAAAACTACTGGGAATTTTTTGAGCCTAGCGCATTTCACGGGCATCCCACGACGAAAAAAATAATCCTAGGAGCTTCTGAAAATTTGTGGAAGCTTAACTTTCAACCCAACAAGTCAACCACCAACAACGACAACATTATATCGACAAGATGTCTGCCGTTGATTATCTTCTCCATGAGTCGGCCACTGGTTTCGCAATCTTCCAGGTTGTGCACCAAGCTGACACAATTGGCAATCGATTGAAGGAAGTTCAAGATGCAGGTCAAGATCTTGCGAAATTTGGCAAAATGGTCAAGCTTGTCAATTTTGCGCCATACAGGTTAGCTATTCAATGCCTTGCAGAGCGGAGAGTCTGAATTGACAATTACTCTAGAAATGCTGCTGAGGCGCTCGAAAATATCAACATGATCTCCGAGGGTGTACTTTCCGATTACTTGAAGTCGAACTTGGAATTGAACATGCCAAAGCCATCGAAGAAGAAGAAGACTATTCTCGGTGTTTCCGACAAGACTTTGGCTGGTAGCATCAAGGAGGAATTCCCAGGTGTTTCTTGTGAGACTGGTGAAACTTCCGAGGTTGTCGCAGACTTACTCAGAGGATTGCGATTGCACGCACCAAAGTTGTTGAAGGGTTTACAAGAGGGTGATGTCGAGAGAGCTCAATTGGGTCTTGGACACGCATATTCGCGCGCTAAGGTTAAGTTCTCAGTTCAGAAGAACGACAACCACATTATTCAAGCTATCGCTACTTTGGATCATCTCGACAAGGCCGTTAACACTTTCTCCATGCGTGTCCGTGAATGGTACGGATGGCACTTCCCAGAACTTGTCCGACTCGTCTCGGATAACCACACATATGCCAAACTTGCTTTGGCAATTGGTAACAAGAAGAACTTGACCGACGAAGATTTACACGACATTGCCGCCCTCGTTGACGATGATGGAGATAAGGCGCAATCGATCATTGATGCTGCAAAGGTTTCCATGGGTCAAGATATCTCAGTCAATGATATGGAGAATGTTTCCGCATTTGCAAACCGTGTCGTCAAGCTCGCCGAATACAGAAGGTCCCTTTTCCAATACTTGACAGATAAAATGGCAATTGTTGCACCTAACTTGGCAGCTTTGATCGGTGAAGTTGTTGCTGCCAGACTTATCTCTCACGCCGGTTCCCTTACCAACCTTTCCAAATACCCAGCCTCCACTGTCCAAATTCTCGGTGCTGAGAAGGCCTTGTTCAGAGCACTCAAGACCAAGGGTAACACACCTAAATACGGATTAATCTACCACTCCAGCTTCATTGGTCGTGCAGGCGCAAAGAACAAGGGACGTATCTCCAGATTTTTGGCCAACAAGTGCAGTATCGCAAGCAGAATCGATAACTTCTCTGAGGCACCAACCAACAAATTCGGTGAGGCTTTGAGAGCCCAAGTCGAAGAGAGATTAGATTTCTATGCTACTGGTACCGCACCAACAAAGAACCAAGATGCCATGGTAAGAACTCGGAGAAATCTTTAATCTTGATCTATTGACTAACATATTTTGATAGAAAAAAGCAATGGATGCTGTTCTCGGTGACATCAACGTTGAAGACCCAACCGCCGAAGATACCGAAATGGCTGACATCGCCCCAACTTCTGTCTCCAAACAAGAGAAGAAATCCAAGGACAAGAAAGAGAAGAAGGAAAAGAAAGACAAGAGCGAAAAGAGTGAGAAGAAGGACAAAAAGCGTAAACACAGCGAAGCCAACGGAGAAGAAGAGGGCGAGAAGAAAAAGAAGAAGAAGAGCAAGGCGGAATAAATGTCGCCTTCATCATCGTAAACATGGTCTAGACGTCCTCTTTTCTTTCTTTCTCCTATCATCTCATCTTGTAAATTTCGGGCAGCTGGGTCATCAATGGCGGAGTATAGCTGTGTTATTATGGGCGTTGAGGACTACTTTTTTGTTAGCAATCTTACCGTAGAAGCTCTGGCTTGTGGTGGTATTTTATATGGCTTGGCTAGACACTATGAGGTGCATAAAATTGGAAAAAAGCATATAACTCATTACTTCTACGGATGATCTCTCTTTTTCCATGTGACCTGGACTTGATCTTGAATTATCAATCTGTGAGACTTGCTTGACATTATTGACATATATGTAATCTTATTCTTGTAGCTCTCTAGCTTTCTTAACTCGTAGCATTCATTTAAATCGACTTGTGCCGGACGTTCATTCAAGTTTAGAACGCTTTCCATTTATAAACGCCTTCTTCGCCAGCATGCCCCGTCCCATACTCCTCTCCCCCAACCACTCCTTGCAGCTATGCTTTCTTTTCTTGCTATTACTAAGTATCAAGGCAAAAACATAATCAAGCACCTTCACTACCAAACTCATTGGTCCAATCCGTGCTCCTTTGGATATCTTCTTGGGAAACAGTAGGTCTAGCCCCCTTGATAGCTTTGATGAAATCTTTTACTTGAAGAGGTGGCTCGAGAAGCTTATCCGAATCGACTTCTGTCCAGGACATTTCCATGGCTCCTGCGTCACCGGGTGAGCAGGGAGTTAGTTTTTCTATTCCATCGGACATGACCTTTTGTGGAGTTAGTCACATCTTCATCTATTGAAATCGAAGAGGAGATTTTTAGGTGATATTGGAGACCTTACCTTTTTATAATGTGTAGCAGTTTGGATTTTCCGTACAGGTTGCATCAAAGCATCTTGGACCGCAATACTGATATCACTTCCCGAGTAGCCCTCACTCAGTTCTCCCAACTTTCTATAATCAGAGGCCACCAATTCACAAGGAGTAGTTCCGACACTGATCTCGAACATTTTAGTTCGTGCAGGTAAATCTGGAAGAGAAATATGAACACGGCGTTGGAAACGACGTCGAATGGCAGAATCTAATTGCCAGGGGATATTGGTAGCACCTAGGACTAATACGCCTCGGCTGTCTCTTCCTACACCATCCATTTGGACAAGCATTTCGGTTTTGATACGTCTCGAGGCTTCTGATTCTCCTTCTCCTCTGGGTCCGCAAAGAGCGTCTACTTCATCGATGAAGATGATAGAGGGTTTGTTTTCGCGAGCCATGGTAAATAGTTGTTTGACTAATCTATTGAATTGTCAGACATGCATATAGCTCCACAGTAGAAATTCGGGAAACGTACCTTTCACTCTCTCCCATCCACTTACTGACCAAATCCGAACTGCTCACACTGAAGAACGTACTGTTTGCTTCCGTAGCTACTGCCTTGGCCAGATAACTCTTTCCTGTTCCCGGTGGTCCATAAAGCAGAATACCCTTCCAAGGTTGTCTTTTTCCCGTGAACAAATGCGGAAACTTAATTGGTAGAATGACAGCCTCCTTGAGCGCCTCCTTTGCGGCCTCCAAACCCGCTACGTCCTCCCACTTGATATTTGGTTTATCCTGCAGAATGGCTCCTTGCAATGCATTTCTCAACTTTTTACTCTCTGGATCCCCTTCCTCTTCATTTACTTTTCCTCCCGTCGAACTCCCATTCGCTCCCATCATACTGGGTTTCTTTCGTTTGCCTTCCGCATCTGCAAGATGTGTTTTTAATTTTTCAGCTCGCTCCATGTATTCGCCGGCTTTGGCGCGGATCATTTCCTTGGATTTGGCATTTTTCTCCCATTTGAGAGCGAGCATGAAGAGTTCAAGAGATTGGTAGTAGAGTTGATATGCTTTATCATATTCCGCTGCGGTATCGGCTTCGATGGCTTTCTTAACCACGTCTATGGCCCGCCCAAGGAAATCGGTGTTCGACATCTTGAGGGTGGGGTTTGCGAGTGTTGATGTTGAAGTCTAGATAGAGAAGCTTGCTTCAATAGTAATGGAACTCCAGGCGATTATTTACACGGCGCCTCTTTTTCTTGTCAAAGGACACCAAGATTGACGTTTGGTTTCGTAAATGTCGTTGTAATTGACTTGAACAAGTCTCGAATTTGGTAGAATGACGACGATAACCTTGGCCAACAAAGAGAGTACGACTTAAACTCTGTCGGACTATAAAAACGAGTATTAATGGACCAGACCAGTATATCACTTCTCTATGCGCCCGGTATTCTCGTCCTATGTATCTTGGGGTATGAATCTGTGGAGGATATTGAGAATTCGAAAGTCTAGGTTGTCGCTTGAGCTTGTGAGCTTGGCGGTGTTTTGGTTGCCCCGCGATTGCGCTAGACATCATCTCAATAATTTGATACTGGATAAGAGAAACTTACGAAATTTCGATATTGGAATATTATTCACAGACAAATTATTTTAATTCTCTACGACTACATTATAAGACGGTCGATTTGTGGCGCTCATAATCGCAATCTATTGGTACAATTTGCAGCTTTCCTCGCACAGAAAAAGTAATCTTCGCAGAGTATAATCAGCCTATTCAACTCCTCAAAGCTCCAGACCAGAAACCAAATACCCTCACATCCTCACCATGGCAGAACAGCAGCAGCGTCTCCAAGCTCTCACCGAGGAATATCAAAAACTCCAAACTGGTCATTTTCACCTCTCCTCTCCTTTACTTCTTCCCGCCATGTATTAACCTCCCCCAGATCTCCAAAGTTCCATTTCTTCCCGCCAGAAGCTCGAATCCCAACAACAAGAAAACAAGAGCGTTCAAAAGGTGCATCTCCCCTTTCTCTCATTCCAATTTATGTCCCACTCCTTTACATCTCCCGACATTCTCTCAATTCCAATCCCAGAATCGCACTAACCCCGCTACCTCCAGGAATTCTCCGCCCTCTCCTCCGACTCCAACATCTACAAGCTCGTCGGCCCAGTCCTCCTAAAGCAAGATAAAACCGAAGCCGTCATGGCCGTTGACGGAAGATTAGAATTTATCGAGAAGGAAATGTGCGTACCTTATCTCCTCTTTCTACACTTTACATTCCATACTTTCTTCCGCAACACTATCGGATGTTTTACTTATGGGACTTTCGGAATGGAGTTTCGGAGTAATCTTTCCAGATGAATTTGAGAACAAATGAATCCCTAATACTTTTTGTCTCTCGCCTATTTAGAAAACGAGTCGAACAAGCTATCAAAGATGTACAGGACAAAAGTGACGGCTTGAAGATGGAGGTATGTTGCCCCTTCCAATCTCCCCCAGAACCTAAACTAACACCTCCTCAGATAATAAAGCTCCAATCCGAGACCCAAGGGGCTCAACCCCAAGTCGCAGCCTGAAACCATACCAGCTAGCAAACATACATCAAAAGAAAGTACTTCAGAGAAATCAAGCAAAAGTAAGGCAGGCGGGCGTTAATACCATCAGGAATGTATAAAATATACACACAAAAGTATGTATGTACTGGAGCATTTGCATGGCCAAGGGCGTTAGATATCCCATTTACTACGTTTCCTACGTACTAGATATGCGTATGACGTATTCATAGTAGAGCGAGCAAGAAGTGACTTTGACCATACAAGATCTCATTCTCCTCCCGCGTATTCTTAATTAACACAAACACCTTCTGATTTCGATACAAAGTACCAAGCTAGTCACATGTGAAGTTGTGGATTTAGAAGTTCATTAGAATCGATGTTTAAATCTCAATCTTATAAATAATGCTCTCTCTAGAGTCTAGAAGGCTCTTCAAAGCCATCTAGGTATTACACAACAATCACAATCACAGCCACACAAGCACACAAGCACACCTCAACCCACCAAAACACCATGTAATAACAACGTAAATATCCATATAATTTTCCTCGAGGTTCCATTCCCAAGTACGTGCTCCTCCTACCCGCCAGCCAGCTCCGCAGACCCCAACATCCAACTCTCCGTTCCCACTTCCACTTCCCAATCTCTCCCCAATCAGAGTGTCCATCAGACCACACACACTCCCCTTCTAGATTTCTACTCAAGTCTCGAATCGCGAAACTGCCCGGGAACATGTCAAACCCCATCTGATCCCTCCTCCTCTAGAATACAAATTGACTTATTCGCGCATCCCCTTTCCAATTCAATGGCTTCGCATAAGTTCGCGTAAGTTCAGTTCGCATCATATCGTCTATCTTGATTCTTGATTCTTGAATATAAATATAAATATAAACATCATTCGCATATGCTTTTCCTCTTTTCCCTCTCCCTCTCCCTTCCTCTTCCTCTCCCTCTCCCTTCCCCTTCCCCCTCTCATATTCCAATCCAATCCAATCCAATCCAATCCCATCCACCAAACAACATCCCCACCCACTACCTAGCATACAACCCAGAAACCCATCCACACATCCCATCCCATACTCTTACTCATACCCATACTCATAAATCATTCCCTCATTGCCTCATCACAAAAAGAAAAGTTCCTAAAGATACACATCCCATTCATCCCATCCCATTCCATTTTATCCCATCCCATCCCATCCCATTCATCCCATTCTATCTCATCCCATCCCATCCCATCCCATCCCATCCCATCCAATTCACCACACATACACACATATACACAACACTTCCAAACCCAACCAACCAACCAACCATCCAAATAAACAAACAAACAAACAAATGAATATACATAACCAGCAAGAAAAGAGTTTAATCATCCATCTAATCACATCCATTCTTTATTCTTTATTAAAAAAATAAATAAATGAATATCAAATATCACACTTGTTTAAGCGAGAATTGTTTATCCCCTTCCATTCCCTTCCCTTCCGTACGTGCCTGTCCTTGCAGGCCCAAGTACTCCTAGTTTACTATACTATATCATGCCATTACATACCTAGTACTTAACCCAATTCAACTCTACCTATCAAATTCAAAACCAAAACACAAAACGCAAGACACAAAAAGCACCAAAAAAACACATCATGCAATGAGAGAGAAAAAAAAAGAGTGATAAATCTTAATACATATAACACGAACTAATTAACTGAATTGCTCTGCTCTACTCCGCTCCGCTCTGCTCTGCTCTGCTCCGCTCTGCTCTTCTCCGCTCGAGATACTCGAGATACTCGGCGCGCTCTCTTAAAAATTCATCATGGTGATATCAAAGTTTCCCACTCCACCCTACCCTATCCTATCCTATCCCATCCCATCCCATCCATATCCTACCCAGATGATCATCTCCAGTGTGGAGCCAGCTGGTACCGTTGGAAAAACGACCGCCCATCCGCCCATCCATCCCTTTCCCATATGTACGAGTATACTGAGTTTCTATCTTTCTGCTATCATACCGCCCGTCCATTCCGATCCATGATGCGAGATGCTTGCTGCTCGGGTTGTTTTTCTGTGAGTGGTTTCAACCAGCGAGCACACTTCACATTTCACTCTTGTCTTTCCCGTGTTCCTTTACTTTCTTCGATCTGATTCGAAGAAAAATATAGGATCGTGAATGTGTACATCCCATCATATCCATCCCATTCAATTCTACTCTCCCCCTCCCAGAAATAGCCACCCAACACCACCGCCATGCATACGCAAAGCCCAATACAACCAACCAACCAACCACCCACCCAAAAACTTTTATATAGCCCACCCTCCCCTCACACATCCCCATTACCTCTCCCCAATACTCTCCGGGCTCATTGGAATCGTCGCCCCATCATCTTTTTCCACCGGACTATTCCCATCCATGCTCTCCTCCACGCTCCCCGCATTTCCATTTGGCAATCCTGACTTGCCCTTCTCACTCTTACCCTTCTGTGGACTTCCACTCCCACCCGTCTTAATCGACAATTGTGAATCGACCGCTGATCCATTATCCAATTTCTTCTTCTTCTTCGCATTACCACTCTGTTCTTTAAGAGGTCTCTTTCTCGGACTTGTAATTTTACCCGTCGGACCCAGACGTGGCCGAGTGGGTTTTTGTTTCCCAGTCAGTTCCTCGTCTTCTAGTAGCGGTTCATCATCATTCGCATGTAACTTAGCGAGGAAGAAGTTCTTGACCAGTCCAATTTGACTAGTGATGCTTTCCTTTGTGATAGGTGGTAAAGGTTCGAGTTGTGCGAAAATTTCGGCTTGGGGCGCTGCAGCGGTGGGTCCTTGGTATGCGCTACGAACTCTCGTATGGAGGAGATGGAGTGGTACGCCAAGACTTGTCATTGAGAATTCACTATCCAAACCAAGGGCCTTGAAACCAAAGTAATCTTCGCCAAGTTCTGCTGCAAAGTCACCACCGACAAATTGTTCACTGCCTTCGTTGAATGCACCGGATCCATCCTGACTATTATCTTGCAGAGCGGGTCTGAGCAGATCTGTAAGATGAGCCTTCATGCGTTCATGCATGACCGAAAGTTTGGTTCCGAGACGCTCAACATCATCTTTAACGTAGCTTTCCAAGGCTTCTATATCCATACCATTTTCACCCAAACTATGCAAGACGACTTCTTCGTTGGTATAACGTTCTTGCCATTTACTTCCAGTGCCAGGTGCAGCAGGGACTTTATGCGCTTCTCGATAAACACCAAAGGTTTTGACAATTTTGCCAAAGAAGTCTCCGGCAATATCAGTTATAACATCCAACGCAGACGGTTGCAATTCTTCAAATCCAGCATGATAGCAAAGCTTGGCGACAGATCGTTGCATTGCAGCCCTACAAACCCAAGAAGACATGATAGGACCATCATCTGAAGTGACATGTGGTTCGATATCTGTTTCTACGAAGGGCTCAGGCTCATACTTGGGGAATTGATTGTTGTACATCTGCATGGAAAATTAGTAAAATTCAATCTCTCGCCAAAGCCATCTCAATCTTACCTGCGCCTGCAACTGCATTTGCTTTATAACACCAATCTTGGAACACAGCTTTCTCGTTTCTTGCATTTGCTTCATATTGGCCTCAACTTTGCCAGTCAAGAAACTTTTCGGTGCGGTAAAATGTCCAGCAGGTACCATTCGAAGAAATTCTCCCGACTGTTCAACCAGATTACCATCCGCATCTTCCACCCACTGTAATCTCGGGTTGATATCTGGAATGGCTGATAGCGGATCGTAATAATCCGGCAAAAACTGTTCTTCTTCGCCCTCCATACCTTCGGCAAGAGTCTCTGCGCCCTGTTTCGCTTTTTTATCTTCAATGGCGCCTTCGACATTCGAGCCATTGGGATCATCCAGTTTCCGTTGGCGCAGCCACCTTCTCATCCCGGCTTTGCTTCGTAGAAGAGCAGGCTCATCTGGATTCAACTTATCACCTTTGAACAATCGGTTTCGATCTTTAGCGACCATGGCACGATTTTTCTTGGTGACCTGCTTCCAGATTTTATACTCTTCATCTTCATAGATATTTTCTGCCGCAAATCCTTGCATGCCCATGCCATTGATTGAAGGGGCATCAATATCCATACCATCACCCTGACTAGCGACACCATTCATGCCGCCAGGGGTTACTGAACCACCCGGAATCGGAGTAGAAAAGCCATTCTGACTACCGTCCACTTCCGAGCCATCCTGGTTGAGGTTCCCAAGAACACCATTGAGTTGAATGGCAGGTTTTTGATCGATGCCCGGGGTGCTTTCTTCACGCCTGGAAGTATTCTTCCGTGCCTTGCCATGCCCCTTTACACCTCGACCGCCTTCACCCCGACCTCTAGAAGACATAATAGGTTCGTCATCACTTTCATCAGCATCATCCCCTCCGTTTTGTTTGCGACGTTCCTCTGCTTCTACTTCTGCTCGAGGTCGAATGACAAGATCTGGAATCAAGGGTATAAGTTTCGCTGCCTCTTTCCTCATACTTTCCGCGTTTCTTCGTAAAGGATGTTTATCTGCGCCATTGTAGTTCAAGCAATTCTCCCATATCAAGTCGAGATCGGCAACAAATTCACTCTTCGATCTGTACTGGTGCGTCTTCAACTTCTTAGTCATTGTGCCGAGGTCCATAGGGTGCTTGATAACTATTTCAGGTCAGCGGCAAAGTTCACTCATGTATGAGCCATGGAAATTACCATTGTAATAATCAGGAGCCTCGCGCTTATTCACTCTGACAAGAAAAGGAGCCGAGTATTCTGTCATAGCCTTGAGCTCACTCAAAACCTTATCCGCAGCCTCGTACAATTCTTCCTGGTTGACATTGTCCTCACTGGCCCATTTACTTCTATTCTTACGAACCTCATTGATCAAGGCTCTCAACTCTAGATCCGTAGCTTGGACCCTGTCACGCTTGGCGTCGATGCGAGCAAAGAGATTCTTCAACGTCAAACTCGATGCGCCCATCTCGGCACTGGCCAGGGAGCTATGTTGTTCGGCTTGTCGATTATTGGCAGGTCCAGCATTGCCATTATTGTCCATTTCCGCGTCGGTCTGCCTTTCGGATTCCTCCAGCCGCTGCTGTTCCAGCATGGCAATCCGATCATTCTCCAATGTATAGAATATGGTATTGAAGCTGCGCTTGGCAGCATCCTCGACGGCCTTCTTCTCCTCTTCCAATTTCTTGCGCGCATCTTCAGAAGTTTTAGGCTGGTCGCTCGCCGCATCATCTTTATTTTGTTCCGCGTGCTTTGAGGGGGATAAGTCAGATTGGATGGGGGAACTCCCCGACTTCGAAGGCGACAACAACGCATTCGCGCTCCTGGCCTTTGAGGGGGAATCTTGCTGTTCATCCTCGTCATCCTCATCATCATCATCATAATTGTCTTCGTCTATAGCGCGCGCCGCTTTCTTTGGTGGTTGTGCTTGCTTGGCCGGTTCAATGGCGGTTGCATCCTCGACCAATTGTGTATTTTGTGTCGAGACATCATGATCTTCATTGGCATCTGCAGGAGAATCTCCACCGCCAAACAATCCCGCCAACCTTGCCTCGCTGCGGCGATATAATTCTTTAAATCTTGTCCTTTGACTTTCCTCCTCCTGTACGTTGGCCGAGTCAGCCATTGTGGCATCGAATATACTTGGAGTATGCGATCGCGGAGGAGTGTTGTTTTTATTTTGGTAAGTCTTTTGGGAATGAATTACATTCGATGAGGAAGGTGACCATGATGTGCCATTTGTGATGGAAGAGTTGTGTCCGGATACCCCAGAGCGAGACAAAAGTCCCCTCTCTCCGCCGCCCATAACGTCAAATCTCTACGTCGCGACAAACCGTCTTAGAGTTGTCGCCTTTTCGTGATTTAAATTGGATTCGATATTGTGCGCATCTTTGTATTAGATTTGCGCAAAATATTGATTAATTTATGGCGTTGATGTTGATGGTTTGATGAAGTTCTTGAGATGAGGTTAGATTTGGTGGTTGTAGGACGTTGTCTGTGATTCCCTTACCTAGAAATCTAGCACTCGTAGTGTATTGAAAAGACAATGAATTGAGCAACATTTGGACCATCATTTCCTCATGGATTCCATGTTCTCACTCCTGGAATATCTTCAAAATTCGTATAGAATTACAATACATCACAATTTACAAACATAAATATATACATTTCAATTATCTATCTATTTTCCCATGTACAGGTCGAATTAAACATCACCTCGTACTGAATCTCCATATTCAACATTGAAGATATTGGTCCGTGCAAGAATTTTGATAGGTGCACCGAGTAGACTGACTAACCATTGGAAAGAAATTGAACCTCAGGTGTGATTTCGAGCTGCAGCCAACCCACATGGGAGATGGAGAAGGAATCTGCAAGTTGCCAGGTTTAACCAGAAGCTCTGAACTCTTTTTGAACACAAGAAGAGAGAGCTTGTCTCAACAGAATACCCAAGGAAAACCAACCATCTCCAGACCTCCAATCCTCATACAAATTAGTTATTAAAAGCTAGCAGTGATGCTTTTTTAAACTCAAGGAAATCCAATTCACGACAAAAGCAAAGAAACAGGCTCGAGGAGTTTCAAGAAAATGCGCATAAGGCTGCCCTTTGCAGGTAAATCATGCTTTAGCTCCCCCTCCTAGTTCCATGTCCTCCCCTCCTTCTCCACACCATACCATACCATCCTATCCATAATCCCTTCCCCATGTCCCCAGAGATCTCCCAAACTAACACAATCTTGTCACGACAGGAGCATTCCTGTTCCTTCTCCTACTCGCCGGTTATGCAGGTTTAACATCCATCCAAGTCGACGCAGTCATTAACGACAAAGTCCTGCACACCACAACCTTCTTCATCCTCACCGTCGTCTTCTATTGGATCCTCGATACCAGTCGTCGAAGAAACCTCAACTTCACTTTAATAATCTGCACCGGGATCCTTGGAGTCGGCTCCGAATTCCTCCAGGGTTTCTTGCCCAATGGTAGAACCTTTGATTTCTACGACATTGTCGCCAATATCGTAGGTTCGCTCGCGGGCGTCGCACTGTGTAGTTGGTATCATTTGCGGATGTTAGAGCGTAAGAGATTGGCAAAGACGTATCATGTTGTACCCGGAGATGAAGAGCAAGATTTGGAATTGGGGGAGGGAGTGGGAGCACAGGAGAGTGGTGTGGCCGCGGCATCGAGGACACTCGATGAAGAAGTGGATAATTGGGATGAGAATATGGAAGATGCGTGGGATGAGGATGAGCAAGCAGACGTTGTGGACAGTGTCGAGGGCGAAGGGTTGAAGACGCCAAGTGCCAGCAGCACTGGTGAAGTCGACGGAGACCCAAAGAAAAGGGCAGTTTAAGTTAACTTGCTATGAATGACGTTACGGATATGATTGGCTACAACGTAGTTTTATGAAGGAACGAAATTAAAACCTTCCTTAACGACGAAATATGTTAGGTAATGGGATGTATATTAGATGATATTTCATGCGAAAAAGGAAGACACAGTGGAAGAGATATAAGCAACTGGCACAAGTGCTCATACCAAGTTCTCTGATTCAACCATTCTGAAATACCATCCACAATTAGTGAGTGTGGGAGAGCCTATCGACCAGAAACCCCTAGTACAGACGCATGATATTGAACACACGCAGCACATCATACCCTTCTCCCATCACAAACTCTCACAACCCCATAATACATTACAACCTTCATTAAAAAATATCACCCATGAATGCACATGCGGCTCCCACATCATGGATGTGAAAAATACACTTTGAAGGCGCCACCGGTTGAGGCGATGAGAAATCATCCGACGGAGGCACGAAGCTCCCTTGTCTAATAACATCCATCCAATTCGACACATCGCTCCACAATTCCGGATGACCAGATACCATCATCCAGGCCTGTTTCTCTGAAAAATCTCTCATGGCTAAAAGGCTAATCGCCAATGAGCGTGACACGAACAAACGAAGTTTGGAACCGTCATCCGTATCCAGATAGATCAAATGTGCGTATTCTTCGTCGAACGTCAATTCATCGTGCATTGCACAATTTGTGATGAGAACGGTCATGGTGTAATCCATTAGTTCTTGGAGTTCGTATTCATCTGCGAGACAATACAGGATGATGCGAGTCCGAAAGGGGATAAGGCCCTCTTCGATGGCCAAAGGTGCGTACGCCCCGTCGTGAATCCAGTCGAGAAACAGAGCAAAGGAAGTGGGTTCTTTATCGGGAAGATTCATATGCCTGAGCTCGGGGCTCAGCGTGAAAAGGCCTTCGAAGTATTTGACTTTGGCACGAAGAAGGTCTTTCTGGGCTTCAAAGGTACGACGATTGTATGGAACATTGCCAACGTATAGTCTAATTACGGCATCACGACCAATGAGACGCGCCCGTTTATTCCCCCGTTCAACCCAATATTGCCGCCCCTTCTCATGTATGTCCTTTGAAGATTCTACGGTGGCATGCTTTTCTTCTGGGTCATGTCCTTCCTCCAATGGCGACATATTATTGATATCATCGAAGGGTGCCATTCCCTCTAACGGTGCCATGCCGCCCTCTCCATCAATCACCGAGTCAGCCCTCATCTTATTTTTCCACCTCTTCGTCGATTCCTTCCTCTCCCGCCCCACATATTCTATTTCCTCGCCTTCCTGTTTGACCTTCATTGGTCGCGGTTGTGTGTGTGTGGCAGTTTTATGAACTTCAAAGCCAAAGCTGTTGCGATGAACATGGAGTCCTAATACCAGGTAACCGAACCAGACTAGATAACAACAAGATACCTGTTATACCAAATTCCAGAAATATCCTAAAACGACCTACTGACTTCCAGTCAAAACGAAGTGATGCTCAGCGAATAACAATAAACACGATTTCTAGCAATACAATGTTGATCTCTAAAACAAGATGAATTAGTATTCAGTGAAGCATGCGAGAAGAGACAAAATCAGAAACCAAAACCAAGATCGAGCAGCGCAGAGCATTGAAGAATTAATGGATGTACTTAGGACTAGAAATTTTGTTAAAAGAGAAAACCAGAAATTAGGGCAGAAGGCTTGAGGTAATGAAGAGATATATGAAGTTAAGAAAGAGATGTGAAACTCCCCTACTTTTAAAATTGGAAAGCGCGACTACTTGACATGGCGGTTTATGTTATGAAATCCTACTAGCGAGACTCTTGCTGAGAGCCGATCCTGTCATAATAGTTTACGATTGATGGTATGTAATGGAGTGAGATGATAGAACCTTTTGATGCAAAAGCTTGAAAATTGGTACCAATTCGCTTTAACTTGCTTGTGGATTTTCAAAACCATAGTATTCGGGCTTTCTATTTCTTAGCCTATTCGTTCTCCCGGAATCTGGCCATGCAACGAATCTTCTACTCAAACTTGAACATCGTACCATAAAATTCTGCTCTGGGCTGATAGAATGGGTATACATTTTTGTGGGCGTTTGGACATTGAAATGATGTTTTTGCAAATAATAGGCAGATGGGTTTAACACAATCACCTTGATTGCGAATCGTCATCATATCATGATATAAAAACTCATGCTGATTTCCAAGGATCTTTTGTACACATCATAAACATTAGGCCAAAGATCATTTCTCATAATTCATCAATCAGCTTTCCATATATGTCCACCACCTTTCTGCCAAAGCCATAAAGCTTCTATCGCGTAGGCTTTGCTGCCTTGGTGTCCTCCCTCAGTATTAGCAGCTTCCTCGAGAGTCTGAATAACTTTGCCCTCTTCCACGATTCTCCAAAGACCCTTTGGCATCTCAGTACCTGGATCTCCCCACTCGCCTCTGCCGAGCCTGTATAGAAATCTCCCCAGAGTTTGGAATGCAATACACCTTTGGGCTGGAAACGCAGAGCGAGCCAATCTTGCTAATTCCGGAATTGTATACCCAGCAGCTTCGGGAGCCTCACCATGATGATGTAGCCCTTTGGTAATTGGCATGGCTCTTGCAATTCTCGGCGGCAACAAACCCCCTCTAAAATCAAATCGAAGGGCTGAAGCTGCCAAAGCTTCCGCTGCTGGATAATAAGGAGATTCTTGGTCTGCTACCGAACCGTGTGTAGGTATTGGTGCCATCCAAGCGAGCTTTGAAGGATCAGCTGGAAGAGACGGATAATATTTCTGATGTAGGTTCTCGAGAAACGAAGGGTCGTTTGGGTCTAAGTCTGGAACAGCGGAAGCGGTTGGGAAGTGTATAGACGGTTGAGGAAGTTCAGGGACGCTCGAAGCAGGCTCTGATGCTGGTTTTAGATCTATGGGTTTTGCCGGTTCTTCATCTTCTTCAAATCTCACAGACTTTTGAGGCGCGACTGGCTTTCCTTCTGGTTTAGGTGCAGGGGTGGCTTCATCTTTGTTTTCCGGAGGTATAGTTATGTTCTCATCATTCTTTAGAGATTGAGTCAAAGATGGGGGATCGATTCCCGTATCTCCACGTCCGTCATCAAAATTGGCTCTCTTCAAAAGTCGTTGGATCAAAGAAGGATCTAAAGTTGCGAGTAAGTCTTCTTGTTCTTGCTCAATTTCTTCCTTTGACATGGAAGCTATTCTCATTTTATTCTCCTCATCTATTCTTTTCCTTTCCTTTTCGATACTGAAATCGTCCTCCTGAGTAGCTGCCGTCTCTGCGCCTGTTGGACGTCCCTGAGCAGGTGGAACTCCGAAAGCATTGGGAGAATCTGCTACCGCTGCATTTGGAACGTCTGCCACCGAATCGTTTGCGTTACCCGCCCTTTGTTTTTTGAATGCCGATACTCGTATTCTTTTTTTATGCTCGGGAAAGCCTGTTGCTGAGGTTTTTAATTGAGGAGCGGTTGGTGGTTTTGTAGAACGTTCTTTGATATCTGCGACGAAGGGAGAGGTAAATGAGGGGGTATTGTTCGATGGAATAGTTGAACTTGATTCGATTTCATCCTCATCATCGGAAAGATTTACAGTAAATCTCTCACCACGAAACTCCATGTTTAGTATATGTTTGCACAAAGTACCTAGGTCGTAGTTTTGTAGTCTTTTTGTTTAGGTTGTGGGGAAATTAAGATCCGTATGCAAGGCTGCTAGGATATCAAAAACGTGAGCCTCTAAGGAAAAAAATAAGGTTATGCGCTAACTCATATCCGACTAGCTGCATTTCACAAACATTTATTTCGGGAAGCCATCAGACGTCGAGCAACGATTGACAACATCTCGATGGAAAACAATATCAATTGTAGGTATTGTTACATTTTGGCTCGAGGTTTATGCATGTTAATAATATACGGACATGATTGCCAATATTAGGTAGATACCTAGACAGGTAATATATACATATATATATATATATATCCTCAGATGAATCCAAATGTTTATCAACCACGACACGAACATTTATTATAAAGGGGAAGATTGAACTGAAGTAGATTCTGGTACTGGATTTGCCGAAAATGGAGAGATGTCTTTTAGAAGCGGAACTGCACATACGGCTGCACAGCACACACGGAGATGTTATCTGATGTTTCCGTTGGATATAACTGGGTATAAAATCACATGCATTATTAGTTTTCAACATCATCCCCCCCCTTGTCAGTTTACAGAGGTAGAGTCGAGACTAGAGTAGAGAGACTGGGGTGGTGAGAGTCAGTCAGTCGTATTGTTGGAAAAACGGATAATTATATTTAGCACTAGTAGTATTCTTCAAGCTAACAATAAGGGAGAAGTGATTTATCGAATACCTAGTACTCGTAGACTCGTAGTACTTCTTCCTTTCTTTCTTTCTTCCTTCCTTTCTTTCCTTCTCTCTCTCTCTTTCCTACAGCCGTATTCTTTCCTACATCCGTATTCTTATTTATACTTTATAATTACCGAGTACCTACCTAGTTACCAAATAAATAGCCTTGTCTTATGTAAGCCTTTGCCCCCTTTAGCCCTGGTCTTGTTTCGTCTATCGTCTATTCTCATCCATCAGACCCTCCATCGTAGCTTGGAGAAGGAGATATTCTTCTACGGCTTCTCTTTTCCCTGGCTCCTGGTCAGACCAATCGCGTTGCCGAGGGACCTACAGCTCACAGGACTATTTTAATTGCTTCGAAGATCCGCAATGGAACACACCACCCACTCCGAACACATACCCCCATGTCCACCAGCCAAATGTCAAGCCAAGCCCCATATGCCCAGACCAGGTCGTACCAATTGATGGAAGTGAAGGTGGAGGGTGGGTAGGGAAAAAGCAAAGAAATCGAAACCGAAAAGGCTTACTTATTATTATTTTGCTAGTACTACGGCATTTTGGACCAACTAGCGTGGGCAATCTCTCTCTCTCTCTCTCTTGGGTCTTGCTCTCTTGGTCTCTTGGTCTCTGGCTCTCTTGCTCTCTTGCGCTCTCTCATCTCAAGTCATCAGTCAGTCAGTTAGTCAGTTAGTCAGTCACTCAGTCACTCAGTCACTCAGTCACTCAGTCACTCAGTCACTCAGTCACTCAGTCAGTCAAGTCAGTAGTCAATCAATCCCTCCATTCATCAGTCCATGTTCCGGCAACCGTTCTTTCCCAATCCAATTCCCACTTCCCTTTCCCTTTCCCTTTCCCTTTCCCTTTCCTTTCCTTTCCTTGCCTTGCCTTCCCTTGCCCTTCTGTGCCTTTGCCTTTACCTTTCTCTTTCCCTTTGCCTTTCCCTTTGCCCTCTCCCACCCCCTCCTCTTTCCCTTCCGTACCGTACTATTAAATGGCGTCTGTGAATAATGGGAAATGTCGCTTGTATTGAATTAAATCCAAAACGTAGTAATGATCAAAGTACAAGAAGTCGAAAATCCCCCTCTCCTCAATCTCCATATCTAAACACCTTTTCAACACTTTTCTTCAACCCAAACCCTTCTTCTCATTTACACTTGACAATTTATACAAGTTCAAATAATCATTCAATCCATTTCATCAATCATTTTGGTCTTTCTATCAATCACCGCCTCAAAATAATCCCATTAGATACCGATGAGTCTCAACGATCTGTTCCTCTATCAATCACTTTAAACTCAACTCGCTTCCTCTCAACAACAGCCATTTTTCATTTTTCTCACCCTCGTCTCAAAATTGAAGCTATTCAGAAGTTCCGCAACGCTTTCGTACCACAACCGTTACCGCCAACAACAATCACGGGTGACATCCAAATCACACCAAAATCCACAAATTCGTAATTGAAAGACGTACACTTCTCCAGAGATTAATAGATGGTGTTTATTCCACATTTAAATCCCCAAATCAAATAATTTGAGTGTATTTGTCCAAAATGTCAAATGCTCATAATGTTCGCGGGGTTTCACCACCAATGGGTTCCAACAACAGCAATTCCGATTTATCATCCCCACCAAGATCCAGTCCCGAGATAGATGACATACAAATTCGTTATGATTCCAATAGCATCACCGTCAACCCATCGAATGGCGCCGCTTCAACTTCAGAAAAGCCAACCCGAAAGAAGGCGGTTAGAAAATCCAGACCAAAGGCCGGTGATGCTAGTTCGGCCACCAATACCGACGCTCCAAAACCTAAAAGGGTACGCAAACCAAGAGACCCTAATGCTCCTCCTTCTGCACGATCACGAAAGCCAAAGGCTACACCTTCCGAAAATACCAATGGGGGAGAATCATCACGACAAACAAAGATTACTGATGCTCCTGGCATGCATTTGAGCGATGTTAGCTTCAGTGCTCCTGCAACCCCACCAGTACAGAACGCTATGATTGCCAATTCGGGTCAAAGTGAGGTTATTCCCAAATCTTTCTTCAATTCCGCCCCACCTCAACCAAAACCTCAAGTTCCTCCGCCGCAACAAGCACCGCAACAAATCAGTCAACCTCAGTCACATGTGGCAATACCACAACCACAACCACAAAGTGCTGTCCGTACTAGCGGTCAAAATTATGATCCTATCAGATCTAATTATGATCCTGTTCGAGAAACTCTCGTCAGTCACCACTCGTACAATAATTCTCAAGGATCACCAATTCCACCTCAAGTCACCAATCGCGCCAGTGCATCCCCTTCCATCGCCAGTCTTGTCGACCCTCCCAATCAGCCATTGACCTCGCCATCGGCTCATTCATTTTTAATGCATCAACAACGTCAACAAGACGGACATACTTCCTTACCTGCCTCCCCAATTGTTAACAGGTTAGGATTATCATCAATGTCTGAGACAAATAGTCCTCGGCCCTTTGCACCCACCCCAACATTAACATCACAACCAATGCCCGCCCCAACACCACCTACTGCTCCAATCGTTTTAGCGCAAAAGGAACCTCAAGTTTCTAACGGTAATTTGAATAAGAAAATCGCAACCAACGGAGTTTCAGGAACATCCACACCGAAGCCACCGGCAAAGGGCAAGGAGAAGGAGAAAGAAAAAGATATTCTTCTTACCCCACCGCCACTTCCTGGTTCGGGCCTGATGGGACTCGGAGGTAATGATGGTACGGAGACGCGTGCCCCTACAATTGTTCTTGACATCCCCTTGAATGGTGATGTAAACATATATGTCAATTTTGCTCGCACGGCCGAGGAGAAATATGGTTGGGATGCCTTACACCCCCGATTGGCAGCTCAACGTGATCGGCTCGCAAGGGTTGCAGCAGCAGGTGCAGCCTTGGAGAGAAATGGCTCCAACAAGGAGAGTGGTGATGAAATGTCACTGGATTCTGAAGGAGAGGGTAGTAATGTTGAGATGGGCGGAATGAGTGATGGGCGAGTAGGTACTGATAGCGGTACAAGAAAGACTAAAGCTGCTCCTAAGAGAAAAACTAAGGAGGATGAATACGACAAGGACGATGGTTTTGTTGATGATTCGGAGATGATTTGGGAGGAACAAGCTGCCGCTGTAAACGATGGCTTCTTCGTATATTCTGGTCCTCTCGTTCGAGAGGGTGAGAAACCAACACTCGAGAGGTATGTGCCACAAACCGTTGATGAAACCCAATGCAGGACTAATTCGTTACATAGGGGTGAGGGTCCAGCAAAGAAGCCTCGAGTTCGGAAACCAAAAGCCGCCACTGGCGAGAAAGCCACCACAAGCCGTGTTAGTACGGGTGGTAAAGCTGCTGCTACATCAAGCGGAGCCGGTTCTCGTGGTGGAAACACAGCAGCACGTAAAGCTCGTATCACGAAAGCTGATCGTGCACGCATGGAGCAAGAGAAACTTGAGCGAGAGCAGATGGGTTCCATGGCTGGTATGCCCGGAGGATACAATACCATACAACTTGCACCGAGTTTGGGTGGAACACCCATGGTTTTTAATCAGTAAGGTCAATCAATCAATGGGATGGGTGGCATTTGGCTGGGATCAATGGACGAGCATATATTTTTTGTAGAGTTTTTTGTTCTTGAAAACATCACCTCCTTGTATTGGTGGAAATGGTTAACTTACCAAGGCGTTGGGGAGGGCGGATCGAAATGCATATGGAGTATTGGGTTGGGGTTTCAATCCACGCGCATACAATCCTGGTTGTACATTAGACTGCCTATCTTTGCATGAGTAAACAGTTCTATACCTTTTAACTGTACGATTATATTGCAGAACAAGAATTTCAGATGTTATAATATTCATTTTGCTGTGCACTTGAGATCTGACGGGTTGTTGATTTGATTTTGGTAACCAGGAGAGCTTAGGCGGGCAGACTAAAGCGGCAAGCATATAATATGTCGGTATGTAGGTAGGTACTCACCTCACACCTAGAATGTGAAGCCAAAGATACAAGTCAATGTCATGGGATATATGAAGATGAGTTTACCTATAAGATGGAGATAGACCTCAGCATTGAATTTACTTCTACATTCTACTGCTAGACCAGTATTCATAACACTATTGCTAGGCACTACCAAATGAACCCAGCAGATCCCATTATCAGTCAATTTATCAATCGATAACAAAAATACCCCTCGCTAAAAGCGGCCAGCACCGAGCATCGGTTTCAACAATATGATATGATTGCATCACAATCCCCCAGTAAAATATCGTAAACACAGGCACAAAAAAGTATTTCCCGCCCGCTTGAATCCCTGTTGATACCTACCTAGTACCTAGTGATAGCTCTTCTTGTTCTCCTCGAACAGACTCCAACTTTCTATTCCGCAATTCACATTCGCCATTGTTATTGTTATTGTCACTGTCACTGTCACTGTCACTGTCATTGTCACTGTCACTGTCATATACATCCAACTTCCCATCCATCCACGCACGCCGTCCTCCTGCGCCACACACCTCCTCAGCATGGCCTCCACCACGGCCGCCGTCCCGGAAAAACCTAAACAGAGACCCTCTGCGCTGCGCAGCATCATTGCCGGGAGCACCGCCGGCGCCGTCGAAATCGCCATCACGTACCCGTTTGAATTTGCAAAGACCCGGACGCAGCTGAATCGAAGATTGCCCGAGAGCGGGAAGCTTCCGTGGCCGAAATTTGGGAGCGCGTGGTATGCCGGGTGTACGACGCTGATTATTGGGAATTCGTTGAAGGCGGGGATTAGTATGTTTTTTTTGTTTTGTTTTTTGGGCTGTCTTTGGGACCTTGGAATTGGGATTGGGATTGGGATTGGGATTTGCTTTGGGTGAGAGGGAGGGGGATTGATAATGTGGGAGAGGTGTGGGTTTGAATGAATTAATGAATGCTAATCTCAATCGCAAATAGGATTCGTCGCATTCGATCAATATAAAGCACTACTCCAAGACGCCGATGGAAAGATTTCCGGGCCCAGAACTGTAATTGCTGGCTTTGGAGCTGGTGTTACGGAGAGTTTATTAGCAGTCACGCCTTTCGAAAGTATCAAAACTACTTTGTAAACCCCCCTCTCCTCCCTAAACAAAATAAAATCTCACACCCCCCAGAATCGACGACCGCAAATCCGCCAAACCCCGTCTTCGAGGCTTTCTCCACGCCGTCCCCATCATCGCCCGCGAAAGAGGCCTGCGCGGATTCTTCCAAGGTTTCGTCCCCACCACCGCCCGTCAATCTGCCAATTCCGCTGTCCGCTTCGGCTCCTACACTTCGCTGCGTCAGCTCGCGCAATCCTATACCGCGCCCGGGGAAAAACTGGGCGCTTTGTCTACCTTTGGAATCGGGGGATTGGCAGGTATCATCACGGTTTATGTGACGCAGCCGCTGGATACGGTGAAGACGCGCATGCAGAGTATAGAGGCGAGAACGCTGTATAAGAATAGTTTCCACTGCGCGAGCTTGATTGCGAAGAACGAGGGCCTGTTTACGTTTTGGAGTGGGGCTTTGCCGAGATTGGGCAGGTTGATACTGAGTGGTGGGATTGTGTTTACGATGTATGAACAGAGTATTGAGTTGATGGGGAGAGTGGATCCGAATGGTCGATATATTTAGGGGAAGGCATTGTGAAGGGGAGGGAAAGGGAAGATGCATTTTTTGGGGCACACAGTGCAGAATCGACAGGCCTCGTAGAATTCCGTGATATACCTCGAGGGTACCAACTTTGCAGTGGAATGATAGCTTGCAGGTTTGGATATCTGGGGTTGTAGTCTCGGTAGGAGGAATGGAGTGATGAGCTGTGTGCTTTGTATGTGTACTTACTGTCCAGAGCAGGAGTTGCGATTGCTCTTCCCTTCCTTACTCTTGGGCACATGGAAATGAAGAATGGCAAGGAAAACAAGAAAGAAAGAGCTTGGTAGCTAGCTAGCTAGAGATTCAGAGTTTCAAGGCTCGAGTGAGTAAGTATCCTTCAATGAATGTATTATGATTCCCCAATGTATCTACAACCCCTCTATTTACCGAGTGATACACGCACGCACTTATGCAATCTTCTCTTCATCCTTTCATTTCTAGACATCTTTTACTCATCAAACTCATGAATCAATCAAACTTACTCAACGCCTACGATAGTATTTACCATAATCCATTCCATTCATTCCATTCCATTCCCTACCTATTTATAAATACATCCCAATTTCCCTTTTTGTTTCTTTCTTTCATTCTCCCTTTCATCATTATCACACGTGTAATGTAATGCAATGCAAGGTAAACCTCTCATTGGAATCGCAAAGCTCCCTTCCATCTGTTCACCTGCTGTTGGAACCAACTCCTGTTAGGGGCCTCTTCGAGCTCTTTCACTAGATCGTCGTAGTATGTTGGGTTGCTGGCGGGTTTGAGGGTTTTGCTTGTGAGGGGGTACTAGATTGAGAGGGGGGTGTATTAGTTGGGGGGTTTGCTGTTGTTTGGCTTCTTCCTTGTTTTTTTTTTTATTTTTGCTTTTTGGTGGGAAATGGAATTGAATGTAGTAGAGCATGCTCTGGCGTCTATTTCCTCGGTCTCTGAGAGTAGAATAGAATAGAATAGAATAGAATAAATCAAACATACCTTTCCCAAATACCGATTCTCCACCAAACTATACAGTGCGTTTACCTGACCGAGCTCTTTCTTTTCGTTGAAGTTTCCAGCGGCAGATATGCGCTCGAGGCGGCGACGGATGGCGTCTTGGAATTGGGCCTCGGGACGGAGGGCATCTTTGGGCCAGCGGGAGAGGGCGCGGAGGTAGTGGCGGGTGGCGGGCTGGAGGGGGAGGGGGTGTTAGTTGGGTTGTTTGGGTTGGGTTGGGAGGGGAGGAGGGGAACAGGAGGGAAGAGGGGAGAACAAGACAGGGAGGCGTTGAGGATAATGAGGATATAGCTTATGCAGAGTCAGAGGTTCAAATATTCCCATTGCATAATTACTCTATCCCATCCCATTCAATTCAATTCAATTCAATTCATCTCATCTCATGACATGAAGATCTAGACTTCTAGCCCCAGCGAGCAACATCTCAATGTAACTCGCCCCCAACACAAGTTCAAGGATTTTGATTTCCCAAACCCCACCACCAACCACCATCGACATCAAAGACCAAAACAAAAAGTCAAAAGGTTAACGAAAGCCCAAACTTACCGATTGCGACATAATGTTTTCAACAAATGAAATCCTCTCGTACAAACTATTCACACAGAAGGAATCGACAGGGCAGGGAAGGTTTTGGAAGTCGTTGAATTGGAGGGGGAGAAATAAAATGGATTTTCAATGCAGATTATATTATGGATGTGATGGATAGATGGCTACTGGATATGTGGGTGGTAGGTACAGTATGCGGTCATGACTTTGGGAGAATGCTGAAATGGAATGGAATGAATGATGCTTCTAGGGCGAGCTAGAGCCTAGAGAGGAATGAGAGATGGTGAGTTTTACCTATTAGTGGGTGCATGTTTGTTATGCGCGAGATGCGGTGCGAGATTAGAGATTGTTAACTAACGGGTGGTGCGGTGCTGCTATATTTGGATGTTAGAGATTTGAGGGGGGGTGTGGATAGTTGGTATGGGCGGATGGGATGAGGTGTGTGGTTAGTAAGTAGATAGATATCGTATGGGAGAAGTGATTGATGCGAGAATTGAGTGCAGGTGTGCAGGTGATTTGGGGGGCATGATTTGTAAGAGATCATATTGAGGCACGGGGTCAGAGATGGATGTGATTTCTCTTCTCGGAAGGAATGAATGAAGGAATGATATCTATCTATGTATGAAGTAGTTGTAATATTAATTATAAAACATATAGACGATCGTATATACATTTACTAAATATTTCCATATACTTCTATTCTAAACTTATGATAATAAATCCCATTGTCTATCCCCTTATTAATCACAAAAGCCGTTTACCAGTCCTTGTTCCTTACTGCGCCTTTTCAAGGTTTCCATATAAAATATCAATGATTTCTAGCGAATGAATGTGTGGCGCTACAGACTTAATTATGTTATTATTACGAGTATACTAAATAAGAGTGAGTACCCGTGGACTACCTAACAATATTATAACCCATCTCATATCTCAAACAAAGCCGAAAGGACCATCCTTCTCCACGACCTCTTACTTCTACTCGTACTTCTTCTTCCTTTAAATCTCCTGACGCTTCATACAAACCACCTTTTTCCTTTTCTCCCTTCCACCTGCTTCACGACCTACGCCTTTTTCCTTCCAACCCTTTACATTCATTCTGGTTCCTTGGTCTTTTTTCTTTTCTGTCTTATTCGAATACCCAAATCAATTTCAAGATGAGTTCGCAACGATATGAGAGGGTGCGTAATCCCCACCTAATCCGCGCCACGATTCCTGTAGTGGATGCTATGGTTATAATTCAAAATGAGAATACATACTAATACATTCTACAATAGGTATCTGCGAACGATGAAGATACCCCTCCGACACCTACATCCCCTCCGCCATCCTTCCGATCGCGAGGCTCCTCTCCTTCTTCACGACATCACGTAGCGCCCGTCGACCAAAATCTAGCGGATACTTTTGATGATGGATCTGATGATGAGGATAACGATGGAGATGATAGACAACGATTAATGCGTGGAAATCCTTCTTCGTCAACGGAGAGATTGAATGAGACGACGAGCGATGATCGACCAACTACTCAGAGAACAGTAACCGTCGTGCCGACATTTGTACCGCCAACAGGTGGAAGGGTTTATGGCGGTGGTTCGGGATCTGATGGTGTTTTTGCGAATCTAAGTGCTAAGCCTGAGAGAGGCGAGAAACAAGAAGAACATCCTCCTGTATGTATACATGTTATTGTGTTGTGAACTTGTACTAACGAAATACAGACGTACGAACAAGCAGCCGCAGATGCCGCACCACCGTACTGGGAAACCACCATTCTCGCTCCCGGACTTGGTGGACTAGATGAAGTATACGTCGAGGGTCTTCCAGTTGGCTCTTTATTCTCTTTTATCTGGAACGCCATGATATCCATGTCTTTCCAACTCGTTGGTTTTCTCCTCACATATCTATTACATACCACTCACGCCGCCAAAAATGGATCCCGTGCCGGTCTCGGAATTACGCTTATTCAATATGGTTTCTATATGAAAGGAACAAATAATGTCGTTACGCCACCTTCAGGGGGAAATGATGCATCATATGCTCAACCTCCCGATCCAAACTCTCATGATTTCGACCCCGATAAGGTTAATGCGGCTGCTACTGCAGGAATGGATTCGGGAAGTGGAGGAATTGGTGACATCGCTAGTAATGAATGGTTTGCGTATGCATTGATGATTGTTGGATGGTTCATCTTGATTAGAGCGTTTAGCGATTTCATCAGAGCGAGGAGACATGAGCAATTGGTGTTACAAAGCCCGGATCGTGGACTACCAGTTCCTATTATTGCGACTGGAGAGGAGAGCGAGACTATTGTTTAGGGATAGATAAATGGATAGGGTTGAATGGGGATATGGACAACTGGAATGATAGGGAAGATATTCTTCACACGTAAAGTAAAGCATAGAAGCTTACCCGGAGTTTATATGGACAGGCTAGGCTAGGATGGATTCAAGAGATTATGGATGGGAGATAGGGAAGGGATCACTTTGAAAAAGAATTCCTGGCAGGGTTACTACAACTTTTTTTTTTTACTTTTTTAAATATCATCTGGTTGGACAAGCGGGCGTTAGATAATCTCATTTTCCCTTTTCTTTGTCTTGTATTGTGGTATGGTTTTTTTGCTACAGCTTGCTTGTATCGATCGATATACTGGTGTAGGCTGGTGGCTGGCTTGCTGAGGAGTGTGAAGAAGATTGAGGAGTAGATGATGGATTCAGTTGAGATTGAGATATATTGATGAATATGTGGGATTTGTATACAATTACAATTACAATTACAATTGCAATTGCAATTACTCGAGTACAATTATCAAATTTAAAGATCTAAAGATTCCAAGCTGTGATTAAGTAAGTCTCGATCATGTAATCTTCCAAAGGTTACCTGTGTATACTTGAGTATATATACATATAATATATATTTGAGTATCCCCTAGACCGCCAACTTAGGACTCCTTTGTGGTCCGTGCGCTGAGTAAGAACATCAATAACCTCATAAATAGTATTATAAATAAAAATACTTATATTTAGAATTAAAGATTTAAATTTCTTAAATAAATGATAATAAATATATGAAGTTTATTCCTATATGTTTTTAATTAAAAAAAAATTGATTGAAAACTTTTATAAATATTATTATATTTTACTTCTCAAAATAAGAGAACTTTAGATGTGATTTATAAATAATTTATAATAATAATAAGATATCAATTCAAAAATTCAATATTTATTCAAAAGTTGAAGATGTATATAAGATTATATAGAAATATAACGAATGTACTATTTATTTTTATTACAATCATAACTGGTTGATATTTATTATAAAAAAACGTTTCAAAATAATGAGATCTCTCTAAATCCTGATGATTTAATTGGTCAGTATGACCCTATATATACAAGGAGTCCTAAATTAATAGTCTAGGGGATATATATACACATATACATCTACATCTACATCTACATCTATATATCTTGAAAGCAGAAAGTTGAAAGTTGAGACTCTCGTTCCAGATCCAAATCCGTATTCAAATCCAATTCCAACTCTATATTCAAATTCAAATTCAAATTCAAATTCAAATTCAAATTTAAATTCAAATTCAAATTCAAATCCAACTCTAATAATAAGGCCCTACTTATTCCAAAATCTTTCTTCAGGACCAAAATATCAAAATACTAATATCTTTCACTGGGTACTAGATAACATTTATCTAACTTTTATATATATACACTCATATACTCACACACTCACTCACTTACTCATTCACTCACTCGCTTATTAGACAACCAGACAACCAGGAAACTAATCACCTGCACCTCATGATGATAAATTCTCGCCGAATCGAGGAACCATAGATACCTACTAGGTAGATGCGATATCTACAAGGCTCACTGGAGATATAGATTTTGCGGATTTTCACTCACTACCTAGAGAGATGTTCTTGAAGCTAACCGGGACTTGAGCCAGAGAAACAAAAAAATATGGTGACAGCACAACATATTGCTCCCAATCATTGTGACCTCACAGTGCGTTTTCAAATGCATATCTAAATCAACCATAAATATATCATTCCGAATTATCGGTTCTCATTCCAATCCTAGTCAATACTAACCCTAACCATAACTAATAGCCTTATTCGAGGCTCAAAAACAAGAGCAACAGGATATCATTTTTGCCTTCATCTATTTTCTCATCTCTCTCTTCTCACTTGTAATGAGAAACACACAATGAATCTTTCTCGTAGCTTTCTATTACTCCCAACACCAAACACTCTTTTTTTATCCCTCCCATGCCACAATTTCGGAATTAATCCTTCGCTCCAAACTCCATAATATAGTAAATCTAACAGTAACAATTAATCCAATAATGTGCGCTCTTCTGCTACCTGTAGTATGCGTATCGATCAGGTTCTTCGGTGTTTTACTGGTAGCATTGTCGGTATATTCGTATCTTTTCGTGTTGTAGGGTCGTAGTATTGTTCATCATTTCCGTGTAGGTCTCCTCAGCATCCTTAACCAGCATATACAAATCGTCCCAAATGGAGGCCGAAACTCTTACTTTGTCCCTCTTCGATAGGTGACAATAGCTCATCCTCTCCCTCGCTGTCTGGTATGATCATATCCTCACTACCCTTTGAATTCAAAGCAGCCTCCTCAATCGCATCAGCTGGGGGCAATGGAATGGATGCCGGGTTAACGTCTGCCAGTTTTGATTTACCGTTTTTGCTGTTTTCGGGAGAAGAGAGACCGGTTGTCCCACGAAGAAAGGCAATGGGACCAGCAGCAAGCATAGGAGTCATTGGTGGGGTTGGTGGTAAGTTGAAGCGGTTGTGTGCGGCAGCACCTAATCGCTGGAGAGGTGTGAGAACAGATCTAGTAGCGGTGGCAAGGGGTTTCTTTGCAGCTGCAGTGGTTAACTTTGTTGAAACAGGAATCTTCGATTGGAACTGAGCAGAAGAGGAAGGTGGAGTTGAGAGACCTTGGTTGAAAACGGTCTTTGGCGTTCTCAGAGTCGAAGCATCAAAAGAATACCTGCTTTTCAGACTTGAAAACGGGATGGAAGATTCAGGGATCGGAGATGGAGGTTGCTCAGATGAATTCCTACTGGAGGTCGAAGATTCGAGGCTAGGGACCGTATCCTGGGAGTCTTCAGTCCGATCGTGCTCGGTTAACGTACTTGTTCTTTGCTGTGAGCCAAGAGTAGATTTGAATGAAGCCTCTCTGAAGATTTCGATCTTAGGCTGCTTTTTCGTCAAGTAATTATCGACATCTGGAATGCTCATCATCGCTTCCTCAATGGAGTCATCCGAGAAGATGGTAATATCTTCCTTCTGTTTATTATTTTTCTTGGAGACCTTGCTAACACTTGGACTATCATCCTCAAATCCATCTGCAAAGAAACGGCTACGACCAAGTTCCACTTTTTGGCCAGTTCCTGGTGTTTGGAGAATGGAGTCATCTTCACATAGACGAGCACGCTTTTGTGGGCGAGACTCTGTGGGCGAAGACACTCTTCTTCCAGTCGAAACGGATCTTTGAGAAGTGGGGTGAGGAGGTAATTGAGGTTCGAGATCGGTGGTAGCTCGTTGCAAATGAGGGCGGACTGGTTCAGCAACCCATGAGCTAGGGTTGCGAGAAAGAACCTCCTGTTGACTACGAGAATGTGTAAAGGAATTGATATCCAGTTCCGCAAGAGGAGTCCGCTTGGCTTTAAAATATGTCTCGATTGAAACACCCTTCTTGAGATCGCTTGTGGATACAGATCTCTTCGAAGCCATAAAAGGATTTGCCATCTTGCTTCTGCGCCCAATGACAATAGGTTGCTTGGTGATAGGATTCAAATCGCCTTTCGCAACTCCTTGGGCAATTTCTGGTAAAACGTCGTGCCCAATAAATTGGGTTTGATCTTCCGTAAGTGGAAGATCAGGTTGGGTATGGAGCACTAAGGTGAGAGATTGGGGACAGAAAACTCTTTGATGTAAAAAGGTGAATTCGGCTTGATAAAAAGATTCCAGGTAATTTTTCGGCACGTGAAATTTTCCGTCAAATTGAATCATACGCAGAACTTTTTCGATCGTCTTATGCTTCCGAACCAGCCGATAGGCTGTCTTTAGCCCCATGTTGCTCATACTAGGCAAATAATCGCAGCCACTTAGAATTGCCATTCTTCGAAATTCGGCGTCAGACCAGCCCGTCAGGTTTACATCTTTGCAAGCACAGAAATCGGCCTTGTTGACCTCGATACAATTTCCATACTGGTCCAACTTGGTAAGAAGACATTTAGCCCCGAATACTAGAAGATCAGAGTCCTCGGATAATATTCCATCGATTATGCCTTTTCGCTCCAGGTAGACCATTTGGGCATCGGCTTCATATGGAGCTACAACATATTGTACTCCCATCTCCTTCAACTCATCAATAACATGGCGGGCCATCTCGGGAGTCACATCGACTGCCTTTTGGAATTCCAGATATGCTTGGGAAGTCTTTCCAGCATTCAATAACTCTTGCCCAAGTCGTTTACTATCCTTCCGACGCTTTTCTCTGTCCCTTTCTGTCGCAGCTTTACTTGGCAAGTAATCGCCATCGAATATCAAGTAAGGAGTGACGCCGAAATGGAGCAGCATTCGTACCCGGTGCATACAATACTCAACATATCTGCTTTTTGGGTTAGTAATTTCTTCCTAGGTTTGTCTCGGTCTCCATACTTTCTTGTTGGCTTTCCCATAGCAAGATCCATAGCACATGATACAGTTCCACGATGAAGCCAGCCATAAGCGTCCACCCCGAGGGTTTTGCCATCGAACTTCTTCAAATTACATGGCTTTTGTATGGACTTGAGCAAAGGGAGAAGACCTATAAGTGGTTAACATAAGAAAACTTGTAGAAATCATCAATGAATTATATACATACCATTGATCCCCATCTTGACGATAACGTTAGTAACACAAAACAAACGGATCAATAGAGGGAGATTCGAGGAATCATTAGACCATTAACCATGAATTGGATGTCGGAGGGTGGCGAGCAAAGGATGAAACGAATGTATAAGTCAAGACATGAATAAGGGGAAGGGGATACTATTACTTATAAGTGTTCAATGGTCGTTGAAGTTGTCGTAGGTTGTTGTGAAGATGTCGATAAGACGTCGATACCAAAGTTCGAAGTCTAAAATGTCCATCCACTTAAACCTGCATGATAGAAAGAACGCGTGTGGAAGGCGCGTCGAACACCAAGGAACTTCCTTTGGCTTCACTACGGCAACCGTGAAATTGATTGGCGGCGCACCCTTTATTTTGCAGGCTCGCAGGTGAGTCTGTGACCTCATATCCCTGCTAGCTTAAAAATTATCAAGCGGGGAATTTTTGCGATAAAGATTCCGATATGGAAAAAAAGTTCAAGAACCGAGTATCGACAACTACATATACCTGCAGACCATCAGAAATTCCATTTTAATATACTTCGATCAATCAATTGCAACCTTCACGATGCCAAAAAGTCTTAAGAAAACATCGAAGCATATCTCGAAGAAGAGAGGAGGTGAAGTTACAGCTTTACACGAAGGATCTCGGGATTCCATGAGTTTGAGAAGAGCAGGAGGAAGAGATGATAAATTAGAAAGAATGGCTGCTGAGAGAAAGAGACACAATCGTCCCATGTGTATGTACTTCATCCGATGTGTGCAAGCTTCAATTCAACTAACATATTATCATAGTGGAGCGAGCTCTTTATTTCCAAAATGCCATAAAAGAAAATGGAGTGAAGCCACTCGAGCTCGATGCGATTCATAGTCTCATAAAAACGTAATGCGGTCCCTAAACAACCATCCTTCAACGCTTTTCGTCTAACCACAATATATCCAGTTTCGTACACCAGAACGATGAAGAGCTTAATGCTATAAAGAAAGAGCGTCGTCCTGGACGACCTGCGAGTACAAGGGAGGACCTCTTGAAAATCAAAATTGCAGCCGACGAGAAAGAATACGAAAATGGATTCTGTTCGTCAATACTCTACCCGAGGGACTTTCAAGTCAACGACTAACAATATACAGATCTACCAGACCTCACTGATTCGGATAATGTAATGGCTTTTGCGCTATGGGAAAAATCCACCTGGTCATATCTTAACACCTTGAAATGGGTGCGCTTGTCGAGCAGTGGACATATTCAAGAGACTAAATTCCCACCCAAAGGATCTTCATGATTGAGTTAAGCAGAACTGGCGGCGTTAGTGGAGTTTATATCAATACCCAAAATTGCGGGAGCAAATTGCGGATGATATGGTTTGGACGATATTGTTGTTATTTGTGCTATGGAGTTTGCATGTTTGCATGTTTGAAACTTTGAATAGAGTTGAGATATTCAACAAATCTACAAATAACGAACTTAAAATAATAAAATACATTTCTAGCACATAGGGAGTAGTAACTAACACCTAAAAAGCCAATCAAATTAATTCTCTGTCTGAAAATACATTCGTGAAAACAGCCTATGAAATCATCTCAAATTTACAAGATCCACCTTTTTTTCCGTGCTCAAAAAAAGTTCCATCAGAGGCGAGCTCGAGATATCAAATTGTAAAATCTTCCAAACCCCAATTCTACATCACATCAACCTCAAAAACTCAATTCGAAACCAAAACATAAACAAATTCACCATGCTTTCCCTCCGTACTCTTACCCGCTCAGCACCACGAGTTGCTCGCGGTCTCACCAACACCGCCATCAAAACCGCAACCCGACCCTCCCTCCTCCAAACCGCTTTCCCCGCTTCAAGACTCCAATGCGCATCTGCATTTTCCACTTCGAGCATCAGAGCTAAGTCTGCTGCTCCAGAAAGCGATGCTGAACTGGCCGAGAAGCTCGCTAGCGAGATCCAAATGGAGGAGGAGATGAAAGAGCATGAGGAACTTCCTACAAGTGTGAAGGATTATATGGAGAATGGTCCTTTTGAGATTCTTGATACACCTGGACAGGAAGAGGTTATTTTGACTAGAAGCTTTGGTGATGAGAAGTACGTTATTTCTTTGCTTTTTCTTCCGAGTAAATCTCTTTTATCTACCTATTTCCTTTAAATCTTCTTCTTCTTCCCGTCTTCACAGCCCTCAAGAAATAAAGAACCCCCAAAACTAACCTCCACCTCACCCACAGAATCCGCGTCTCCTTCTCCATCGCCGACCTCAACGCCTACGACCCCGACTCCGACGAATTCCAAGACCGCGCCATGTCCGACGAAGACCCCAACATCGACCCCGCCGACCCCTCCGAGCTGGACCCTGAAAACCCCTCCGACGCCGAAGGCGAGTCCCAAGGCTTCCCCGCCCGCGTAAACATCATTGTCGAGAAGAAGGGCAAAGGTGCGCTCGCTATTGAAACCGTCGCCGAGGGTGGCATGATCGTCGTCGATAACGTATACTACTATGCGGACGCCGCGCACGCCTATGCAAAGACTACCGAGGCTGTCCACCAACGTCAAGATATGTATGTCGGTCCTCCTTACGCAAACTTGGACGAGGATTTACAGGTGTTGATGGAGAGATATTTGGATGAGCGAGGAATCAACCAGGCATTGGCGATTTTCGTGCCCGATTACATTGATATGAAGGAACAGAAGGAGTACTTGAGATGGTTGAAGAATGTTAAGGGATTCGTTGAGGCTTAAGTATCATTCATTGACGCTCAGAATCACTGATCCTCAACCATTCCCTTTCCCCCCCCGTACGAAAAAAAAAGCGTTTCTATTTTGGCTTTCCCTTCAATGTTGTTTTCATACCCTTTCCACTCTGCTGGCACCATCATACCTATAAGCTAGGTACACCTGTATACTATCAGATAGCAAGACTGTCTACACTACGTACGATATGACAGATACGAATGCTATGTAATGAATTTCAAGAGACATACTTGATTATGCCTTTTTCTTCGCTCAATTGGTGAACTGTGATTGTGCTGTTTGAATTTCATTGCTTCGTTATACGCACCAGTCTTGTGCTTCTCAATATGCTCTATTCCAAGTGCTATTTTAAGCTAGGGTACTTTCTTAAGCTTCAAATGAGTGAAGCATACAAGTAGTATGACAAGTATCAGCATCAGCAAGCACCAGATATAAACGTCATGAATCATACGACGCAACAGAAAGATACAATTTTTTACGCTTTTTATTTCGAAATACAAAGTAACATCGCTAATTCTCAATTCATTGATTCGCCACATCTTATTTGATCCCATCCATCAGACTTTATTTCTGGTCTTGTTCTCAATCTCAATCTTGTGGTTCTTAATTTTATCTGCTAGATAGTGACCTAGCTCAGTCACCTACGCCCTGCCATATCCGATCATACACTACCCACCCCTATGTACTCCCCGAATCCATTGCAAGCAAGTAAGCGACCAGCAACCAACCAAACCAAATTCCTTTCCATTCGATTCCCACCAAAACATAGATAGATCGACCGACCGGCTTGCGGAAAGACAAGGCAAGCAAGAGGAGCAAAAAGCAAATATGATAACCCCGTCACGCCATGATCGATAAAATGGACGAAGACAGATAGTTAAAGTGGAAGAAAAATTATGCACCGTGTTCTTGTACCTATTCTTCCCGTGTCGTAAAAGGTATTCAGGTCGAGGAAATTGCAATAGGTGCTTAGAGAATAAAGAAAACATCCAGTGTCGAGGGGACCAAGATAAGCCAGCACAAACGCCCAATGATGCAGAGAGAAGCTTTGATCACTGTACAAAAGACATTTAAGGTCTAGAAACTGGTAGAGGGGAACCCTGAAGACCATCGCTCAAAGATGGAAGGTATAACAAAATCTTCTGGCATACTTGAAAATCGTTGTTGCTCTCGCTCCTTGATCTTTGAAATATTTTGGCCATCTACCAAGACTAAGTCATAGGTAGCAAAGAAGCGACCAAAGACTGAACAATGTGCGATCTAGAAGTTTGTGCTCCAAGACCACGAACCATTAAATAGATTTTCGGCTGTATCTAAAAGCAGGATGATCCGACGTTTATTGCAATAGGATGTCTTGTCCATAATTTCAACCTTCAACTTTTGAACTGCAAGTTCCTGAACCGGTTTCTCAAACATTTCTGACAAATTTTCGACGGCCATTTCGAGATCTCTTTGGTTGTTTTCGAACAGCTCTGTAAGATTGTTGCGCTGAAGATAGAAGGCAAATGCGTAGGTCCATTTAAGAGTTTGACGGCAAGTTTGTAAGGCTTGACTAGCCGTGTTAAGGTACTGAACTTCGATCCAAGACAATCCCGAGGCAGTTTGAAGTTGAATCATCTTCTTCTCGGTCTTATGGTAAATATCCTTGTCCAACTTTGCCGACTGTTCATGATTTGCATATCGATTGTAGTAATGCAAATAACGTTCTAGGGACTTTCGAGAGTTGGCCTGAGCATCTCTAGCTTCGGAGCCACTCTTCTCTTCGAATCTATTGCAATTGTACCAGCTTGTACCGTGCTCCGACCATAATCCCATACACATCCAACAAAACTCGTGTTTGCACTTTCGACATGTCATATGGTTGCAACCTCCGTTCTTCTCGATAGTAGAATTACATTCTGGGCATTCTTTTGTGTTGGCAGAAATCCAGTTGGCAGTTTCTGAATCATCCGCGCACTTCTTCAACCATTTCTTGACCAGTGTACAAGGTGCAGGTTGATGGTCTGCTAAGATACAACCAAAACAGAAACGATGCTTGCAATCACATACAACTGTTGGGACAATCTTATCGAGATCTTTCTTCTTGATGCCGCATTCGATAGCATTTTGACAATCTGGAGCGGGACACCATTTCAAGAATTCTTTATCCTCGACGTATGTTCTGGTAAGGAGTTCGTGATATCGTGATTTTAAATCTGCAGCGACAAGGAGATCTAGAGAGTGGCTATCCATAATTCTTCGGCATCCATCATGTGGACACTGAATTCGAGCTGCCTCTCCCTCCTCCTTGATCTTTTGAATCAAGTATTGATTGTAGCAGTTGACGCAGTATCTGTGCCCACATTTCATGGCAAATGATTGTAAGCCGGGTTCGTCCTCACAACAGATATCGCAAACAAAATCCGGTATAACCTCAAGTTTGGGTGGCCCAGATTCACTCGACACCAAGCCAGCATCATCAAGAACTTTTTTCGGGCGATCCATGTAATCTTCAATCAAACGTTCCTTGTTCCATCTGAAATGCCTCAAGAGAATAGCTGCGTCTTCTTTTCGAATGTCGAGTATCATGTTGACTTCGTTGATGAGTTCATCCTGTTGACCTTGAACATCCTCGGGATGATGAACCTTATAGTTGATGTCGAACTTCGACTTCTTCTTCTGTGCATTATCATCTTTGAAACTGATGTCTGGTGCTGATTCTTCGAAACCGAACTCTAGATAGCATCAAAGATATCAGCAATTGTATCAAGGTGGGGGAAGTGATTGTGAGGGTTTCAAGAAAATATACCGTTACCATCTTCAGTCTCCTCCTCATTCTCATTCTCACTCTCATCCATAAGAACGTCATCGTCACTTGATGCTCCAGACATGAAGTCGTCCTCGGAATCCATACTGATACTGTTGCTGTTGGTTTGTGGCGTGGGAGGTGTTATAGGTTTTGCAGAAGATGCTAAAGTTGCTGCTGCTGAGGCGATCCGTTTGTTGGTTCGAGTCTCGTCCTTGTCGTCGTATGATATCGCCTCAGCCGCCTTTCTCTTTTTAGATTGGGAAGAAATGGTGACTGTGAATGGGTCCTTGGCTCGTCAAAGCCGACGAGGTCCTAGGTACACAAGGCTACCGAAGAAAAGTGATCTCGGTGTGGATGACCCTCAAAAGCAAGCAACGAGTCAGGAGTGGCGTGTGATTATTTACTATATGTAGGTGACCTGATGATTAACGAGAGAAATGTTGAAGGATTCGCTGAGCCCTTCTCACGTTGTTTGGTGGAAGAAGGAAGAGGAAGAGATGTTGTAAGTAAAAGTAGAGATGACCTGAACAGGTGAGAAGAATTAGGTTGGTAAGAAAGTGTCTAAAAGCGTAGGTTGCAATAAACTTTTAGACTTAATAAACCTTAGAAGATCGGGAACAAACTAAATAGTATGTAAGAAGTTTGATTTGGGGTCGGAGTGGGCTCTGCTTTATTGTTCGTCTGACTAAGTGTTATAAATCCATGTTACAAGTACTGCGCGTACTGCCACTTTTACTGTCTCTTGAAAAGGATCTTGGATCTTGGATCTTGACTCTTGAAGTTCAGTTGTTGGCCGTTATCTAATCAATAGGTACTTATTATACTAGCAGGCAGCGGAAGGCAAGGCAAGGCAAGGCACGGCAAGGCAACTACGGCGAGGCGCTTACCCTATTTACTACTAGCGTATTTTGGGAGCGGACTCGGCGCCCGATATTAACCGATCGATTGATATCTCGACTCATCTCGTACGGAGTTCCCTCACACTTTCTTTCGAATCCTTCTATGAGTGAATGTTGCTTCTTAGGAAGTCAAACAGCCGTTTCAATATCCCTTAGAAATACGATAAAAATGGTGAAAGGAATAGCCTGCAATACAGCATCTATGGAAGTCCATACCTTTCAAGGTATAGCTGGTAGTTATGAGCCAAGCATTCATCTGTCGGGTCCTCACATCTTAGAGGTATCCATCGTTTGATCCGCCATACCTAAGTTTCCGTTCAAATGTTATGGTGAGCCATATTATATCCTCAGTTTTTTATACACATACCGTGTTTGAACAATAGGGAAATCGGGCATCGGGTTTCAAATTGCCATTGTAGGTCGGAGGCCTCAAAATCCTACTGGTTTGGCCAATCAATGCCATTCAGCGTACGTCATCTCATTCAATCTATACCAAAACAGTTCAACTTCAGCATATGTATACGTACAGTTATAAGTATAAATAATCAAAGTTGAAGCCGTTGTTACCATCTCTCTCTATCCTTTTTTCTTGATACAGTTCTCTTCTTCAACATTATTACACAACTCGTTACCATGGCCGCCGAGCACCAAATTCCCATCCTGATCATAGGCGGCGGTATTGTAGGTCTATCGGCTTCTCTCTTTCTCTCCCAATACGGAATACAATCTCTCCTCATTGAGCGTCACTCGGGAACATCCATACACCCACGAGCTCGATCCGTCAATGCTCGGACCATGGAACTATTCCGCGGTCTCGGGATGGACGATCTTGTTCGAGAAGCTGGTGCCTCAATGAAAGCAACTATGGGTATTCACAAAGGAAAATCGCTCAAGGAAGTAATAGAAGCTAAGAAACCAATCGATAGTCCTAGGAAGTTTCCTTTGGCTGGTTTGATGGATCCGATTAGTCCGGTGCAAGGAACGTTTGTAACGCAGGATATGCTTGAACCAGTTTTGGTGGATGTGGCAAGAGAACGAGGGGGTGATTTGAGATTCTATACGGAATGTATCAGTATTCAACAAGACAGTGATAGTGTTACGGCCACACTCAAAGACCGAGAAACTGGCGCTGTCTCCTCAGTTCGTGCAGAGTACCTTATCGCCGCCGATGGGGCAGGAAGCCCTATTCGAAATCGACTCAAAGTCCCAACATCTGGACAAGGTACGATGGGGTATTTAATCAACATACTATTCCACGCCGATCTCAAATCCCTGGTACACAAACGAGAATTTTCCATCTGTGTGATCGAACGTTCAGATATTAATGGGGCATTCACATCCATCAATAATGATGACCGTTGGGTGTTCCATCTCGCTTATGACCCCTCCAAAGGCGAGCAAGCTTCGGACTTCACTCCCGAGAGATGTATAGAGTTATTACGCATTGCAATAGGAATACCCGATCTTGAAATAGATGTCAAAAGCATACTGCCTTGGGAACCATCTGTACGAGTAGCAGATCAACTACAACATGGACGTATCTTTCTCGCTGGTGATGCTGCTCATCAGATGCCTCCATGGGGAGGTCAGGGTGCAAACTCTGGCATTACAGACGTTCATAATCTTGCTTGGAAACTCGCACTTGTACTTCAAGAACAAGC